CTGAAGGAGAACATCTTGCTCTACAAGACAGAAACTGGACAGCATCAAGCTTTTTAGGCTCTGATAACAAAGAGGCTGAGGATTCTTGTCCTCAATTAAAAACACAAGTGTCTAATCCAGAAAAAGGGCTGATGTACAGTCCTGTGTCTTCCAAAAAACACAGAGAGCAAGCATTAGCTTTACCAGTATTTTTTCACCAGTGAGTTAGGGTGAAAGTACCTAAGCTTTCTTTCCAGTTTTTTATTTACTTTATTGATTTTTTCTTTTGTGGTGATACTAGGCATTGAACCTAGGGTCTTGTACTTGTGATCTTCCTGCCTCCGCCTTCTGAGTAGCCTGTCCCGCTGTGCCTGTCACTGTAACAGAAAACGCCACCCCCACCCCCAGCCAGTACACTTCAGTTTCTTGTAGTTAGCCAGGTAACAGTTCCTGTTGCAGTTCCAGTTGCCTCTGTCTCTCAGACACAGCTGGTCACTGTGATGCAAAGCTGGTTACTATGATGCCTATCATAAGAACTAATCAAAGACAGCCAAGTTTTCTTCCTTTTGTATACCCCCTTTTAAAACCCCATAAAAACCTTCCTTCCTGGGCCTTTGGGACTAACATTTTAAGGGACAACTGATTCCCTGTCAGTGCCCGTCTGACATTAAATAAATCGGCCTCCAAACCCTGGGTGCTGTTTTGGTGTTTCTGCTTGCCGTTGTACCATCACCTCAGTTTTTTGTTTTTGTTGTTGTTGTTTGTTTGTTTTTGTTTTGTTGCAATTCTGTGGATTGAACCCAAGGCCTTTACACTGAGCCATACCCAATCCTTTTTATTTTTTTAATTGAGATAGGGTCTCAGTAAGTTGCTAAATTGCCTTGAACTTGGGATCTTCCTGCCTTAGCACTGGAGGATTGTAGGTATGCACCAATACACCTGGCAGAACCTCACGCTTTACAGACACAAGAATCCCAAAAGTGCTCTTCCTGTCTGGGATTTGTTTGTCAAAGCAAGGTATGACAGGAGACAGCAGCAAAAAGCCCGGTACATAGGCCCAGAATGTACGATTTGGGATTCCACAGAGCCCATGATGGTAATCACCTCAATAGAAGCTGTTACCTCAGTACCTCTCTCTTTACAGCTGACCATGATGCCATGCTATTGATGACTTTTTCCAGAATTAAGCCCTGTGAGTCTCCTCTTTCCAGCCAGCATGGAATGATGGGCATCTCTCAGGACAACTGGCACAAGACCAGGAGCAAAAGAAAGCCCAAGAAGTGGAAGTATGAGTTGGGTTGCCCAGCTGCCAGCACTAAGATTGGCCCCCACCAAATACACACAGTTGAGTTCAAGGAGGCAACAAGAGGCAGTGAGCCCTCAGGCTGGATACTGGAAACTTCTCCTGGGACTCTTGAGTGTTATACTTGAAAAACAAGGATCACTGACATTGTTTACAATGTGTCCAATAATGAGCTGGTATGCACCAAGACCCTGGTGAAGAACGGCACTGTGCTCATTGATAGCGTGCTCTACAGTGGTACAAATACCCCCTGAGCTACAAGCAGGGGTTCCAGCAGGGCAAGCTTCTTGCCTGCATTGCATCAAGACCAGGCTAGTGTGGCCAAGCAGATGGCTATGTGCTAGAGGGTAAGGAACTGGAGTCTCATCTGAGGAAAACCAAGGCCCAGAAAGAGGCAAATAAACCTCCCTTCCTGGCTTAGTTCTTGTAATAAAGGTGTCTATTGTTCTATGGTTAAAAAAAAAAAACAGACCCGTGAGTCATATTTGCCAACAATCACCTGCAATCTTCTATTACACAAAGATTTTTCAGCTCTTGTCCTAATGCTGTTCTGATTCACCTCCCAAGAGTTCAGATCTTATGAATGCTAGATGCTCAGTAGAGGCCTCCGTAGCTTCCTACATCCCATTGGTAATCTTGTCACTCACAGATATTTATTAACCACCTGCTCCATACCTTCATCCTCCCATCCCTATTTAAGAATATGTGTTATTTATGGCATCATGAAGAATCAGGAGAATTTGCCTCATGTCACATTCCACTGCTAATTAAATCAATTTCTAAACTCAGTTACCTCATAAGATTCCTGCTCTTTTTGCCTGCTTCAGCATTTTGGGAAATGAGTGCAGTGGGTACAGAAGCACTTTGAAAATGCACCTGTCCTGTTTTATAAGATAAATAAAAAGATTAAGAAAGAACTAAACAAAACGCTGGAAATAAAAATACTGAAATAGGGGCTGGCGATTTAGCTCAGCGGCCTAAGTGCCTGCCTAGCAAGTGTGAGGTTGTCAGTTTGATCTTTAGTACAGAAAGAAAGAAAGAAAGAAAGAAAGAAAGAAAGAAAGAAAGAGAGAGAGAGAGAAAAGCCACTGAAACAAATGAGGATTGCCTAGTGGACTTCAGGCATTAACAGACTGTACGAGGCTGAGGAGAGAATCAATGAGTTTGTAGGAATGTCAATAGAAACAAAATGCAAATAGGGAAAAGAAAAGAGCTAAAAACTGCAGAGCCATTATAAAATGTGTAGTATACACATAATGAAACTAGCAGATAAAAAAGAAAAGAACAGAAGAAATGTGTGAAGCAACAATGACTAGAATTTCCTTAAACTGACTAGATTTGGTGGCACATGCCTGGGGAGGCTACAAAAAGAGGATTGACTTGAGTTCAAGGCCAGTCTGAATTACCCAATGAGATTCTGTCTTAAAAGAGAAAGGTGGCACAGAGCTATAATCCTAGCACTCAGAGGCTGAGGCAGGAGAATTGCCATGAGTTTGAGGCCAGCCTATACTACATAGTGAGTTTAAGGCTAGCCTGGACTACACAGCAGAACTGTCTCAAGAGGGGAAAAAAAAAAAAAAAGAATTTCCCCAAACTAATGATGAATATCAAACACAGATCCAGGAAATTCAAAGAACAGCAAACATGACAGATACCAAGAAAATTCAGAAAAAGAGCAGCACATTGGCATATCATATTCAAACTGCTGATAATCAAAGACAAATTTAAAAATTGAAAGAAGCGGGGCTGGGGATTTAGCTCAGCGGCATGAGCGCCTGCCTTGTAAGCAGGCAGTCGTGAGTTCGATCCCTGGTACCGATAAAAAACAAAAAAACAAAAAAAAAATTGAAAGAAGCAAGAAATAGGGCAGAAAAAGTGTTCAAGAGAGATGCAAAGAATTACATTACTATACATCTAGACAGCATTCAGACAAGAAGAAAGTGGTATGAAATTGTGAGTTGAAAAGGAAAAAAACCCCTTCAAACCTAATGTTCTATGTTCAGCAAAATTATCCTTCAGAGGAAAAGAAATAAACATGTTCTCAACAAAAACTGAGGAAATTTGTCACAAGTAGACATCCCTGAGAGGCATGTTAGAAGGAACTCCTTAAGAATAAAAATGATACAGATCAGAAACAGATTTACAAAGAAGGAAGATCACTGAGAATAAATGAAGGAACAATGTTAAATAACTAGAATTTCACACATGTCCAACTTATGGTACTTATGGACGACGGGGTTCTACCTGCAACTAAACCTGTGGAACATCTGTGAAGACTGATCTCGGGATTAGGGACAATATAAGCCAGTAGGTCTGCAAGTGGAAGAAATGGCCTTTCACACCGTGCGCCGGGCTCAGTACTTGGCGATGGAATGCGAGGGAGACACTAGGACGACAAGAAGATAGGAAAACAGAGTTTGCTTATAACTGTGTGCAAAGCAGATACTTGAAAAAAGAAAAATATTTTAAATTGTTATTATTTATTCATATTTACTTGCAGTACTGGGGATTGAGACCCAGGGTCTTCCCAATGAGTTACACTCCCAGCCCTTTTGATTTTTATTTTCAGACCAGGGTCCTTTTTATTTTATTTTCAGGGTATCTGCAAATGGCCCGGGTGAACTCTAACTTCCGATGGTCCTGCCTCAGTCACCTCAGTACTGGGGTCACAGATATGCACCAAGAGCCCTGGCAAAATGCAATTTTAAACTACACGAGACAGGAAAGCGATAACATAACAAAACTCAAAAAAACTACCTATACTACCACCATCCAGAGAAAAGGAGACTAACAATGTGGAGCCTTTTTCAAACTTTTTTATAGTACTAAGGATTTAATCCAAAAGTTCTATCAGTAAGTTACAACCTGCACTCCGTGTGTTTGCGTGTTTGTTTTGTTTTTTCTATTATCGGAAAAGGTCACTACTCGTTGCCAGGACCCCACCCCAGCCTTCAGGGTAGCTGGGATTACAGGCATGCACACCACGCCGGGCTCCAAACGTTGTTTTTGTTTTTGTTTTTTGTTTGTTTGTTTGTTTGTTTTGGTACCGGGGATCAAACACATGACCTTGTGCTCGCGAGGCAGGCGCTTATGCCGCTGAGCTAAATCCCTGGCACCTTTTTCTTTTTGATACCAGGGATCGAATTCACGTCCTCACTCTTGCCAAGGAGGCGCTTACGCCACTGAGCTAAATCCCCAGCCTTTAAAAAAAAAAAAAAAAATCTCCTTCACACACATTCCTTCATTCCTTCTCGATGCTGGGGATAACGTCCAGGGCTTCTCTCCTGCTAATCAAGCATTATGCCTCTTAGCAGCTGCCCACCTCGGTGCGTATTTTATATTTTAAAGGTGAGCGCCCCCTTCTGTTTCTCGAAAGCAAACGTCAAACTCTAATAGAAGAAGCGCTGACCTAAGGGAAAGGCTTCCGAGCTGATTCTATGGCTGGGATTTAAGGAACCCTGTTTCAAATGACGAAGATAACAGTAAAGGCAATCAGTGTGACCTCCAACATACAGATTATGAATTGGGTCTCCAGACTTAGTAACTTTTCTGCAATTCTCCAGAAGGCAGAGAACACAAACCGGAAAACACACAGCTGCAACTCCAACACTCCATCTACCAGCGAGTCTTCACCTGTGAAGAGTGGCGCCAGGCCAGCTGGCTCCACCTTATGACGTCACGAAGTCTGTTTCTCGCGCGCTCTCTCTGGCCGGCCATTGGCTCTCTCCTGCAGACCTCTTCCAGGGCAAGGAAAAAAGCTCTCAGAAGCGGAAGTAAAGTGTCTCGGATTCCAGACAGCTGTAGCATTTAAAGTTGAGCCATCTAGTGCCTCGGCGGAAGGCCGCTTCTACGCACAGTATCCAGGCCGAGTCAGGAGCAGACTCCATACCTCTACTAGTCTATGGAAAGGACTGAAAAGGATCGGAAAGTATCCTGCGCAGAACGAAAAGCCCGAGATCCCAAGAGGTGCCGGAAAACCCGTGCCAAGGGAAGGGTTTAGAAGCTTCCCCCGGGGAAGGGAACTCCCCGGGCCATACCCGCCAATCATGGCCGCCCCCAAGGGGGCCGGTCCAGCCACTTGGCGCATTGCGGCCGCAGCCAGCTGGCAAGTGGTGCGCGAACGCTACGTGGAGCATTTCCCTCGAGTCCTCCAGTTTCTGCGCTCCCTCCGCGCTGCCGCCCCCGGCTTGGTTCGCTACCGGCACCACGAGCGCTTGTGTATGGGCCTACAGGCCAAGGTATTGCAGCGAGAGGACCCGGAAGGGGGAGGGGTGCGAGGACCTGTGGAGGGGACCGTCAGGTTGGGGGTGACACTAGTCGGAAAGGATGGCTTGCCTGAAACGGGATTCTGAGCACAGTGTCATGCAGATGGTGGTGGAGATGATCGTACGAGGCCGGCCTTGGCCTCAGGTTCTGAGTGTCCTGAATCGCCATTTCCCAGAGTCTGGACTTATACCGCGGGACCCTAAAGCTGTGAGTAATCCCTGGAACAAGACCTGACCCCAGTTACGCTTAGTGTACCAAAGTTGCTCCTTCTCCCCACCACCGGATCCTGGTGTGTGCAACTTTTTTCTGCCTTTCATATCGTTCCTCAACAGAAAGAGCAGGATCTGAAGATTTTGGAGGCACGCGAAACCTTTTGCCAGCAGGTGAAGCAACTGTCAGAGGCCCCCGTGAATTTGGCCTCAACGCTACAGGTGAGAAACTAGCTGGATTGAAGGCTGTCAGGTGGCTCCTGTTTCCATCCTCCTCTTCTGATCTGCTGCTTTTTCGGCTCAGCAGGAGCTTGAAGAAGAATATGGGGAAGCCTTTATGACCGCCATGGAGAAGCTGTTTTTTGAATACTTGTGTCAGCTAGAGAGAGCACTGCCTACCATACAGGCACAGCAGGTTTCATTGGGGCAGAGCACAAGGGCAGGCTGTGGGGTGATTGTCTGAGAAACTATGGTCTTCATAGTTCTCCCTTCCCACAGCTTCAAGATGTGCTGAGTTGGATGCAGCCTGAAGTTCCTGTCCCCTCTTCTCTTGCCTTGAGCCAGTATGCTGTGGACATGGGGTGGCCACTTCCAGGTACCAGGACCACCTGGGAAACTAGCAAATTTAGGGGTGTAGTGTTGAGCATAACCTCATTTAATTCGGCCTATTGGAAGTTATGTGAGCCTGGGGTAGTTAATTCATTCTCCTAGTAAGAAACCTCATTTCTTTCAGAGCACTTTGTTTCTAATTCAGTGAACTTGACTGAGCCTGTGGGACAGAATCCTCCTACACAGTCTAGACCAGCTCTCCACAGTCCTCTGCCAAAAGCCAAGCTGAGCCCTGGGGGACCAGCTTCAAAGAAGCATCGCGAATCTTTTGCTGGCCATCACTTCAATCTGGCCCCACTAGGTCGGCGAAGATGCCAGTCTCGATGGACATCTGCGAGGGGCAGCTACAAAGAACGCCCCACAGTCATGTTGTTGCCCTTTAGGAATCTGGACCCACCAAGCCAAGTCATAGCTCAGCCTGAGGGCAGGGAAGAGCATGGGATGCACACAGCAGACACAGCAGGTGTGGGCACAAAAGCAGCCATCACCAGCAAGTCAAAGAGTCCATCTCAGATTCTGGGGGGAAAGGCTCTGAAGGAAAACCCACCTGCCTTGTCTGCCTCAGGGGAAATGGAGTGAGTACAAGTGTTGTTTGTCCCTGCTAGGAGCACACTGTTTGCCTTCTTTGTCTTTACCCTGCCCCTTGTTTGCTTCTGTCTTAGGAATTGCTTGGGTTGTTACTTGGAACCTCTGAGACTACCCTTATCACCTTCAGAGGCCAAGAAGCCAGGTAGGTGGGTCAGGACTGGATCAGACAGCCTCTTTCTGTGGGAAAAGAAATTTGATTCTGGTTTCCTTCCTGCAGCACATTGTCCATCTCTAACCACCTCGATCATTACCATAGGGGACTTGGTTTTGGATTCTGATGAGGAAGAAGATTGCCAGAGAGAAGGAGAGGTGAGTAGGCAGGAACAGAAAACTGGGGAGAAAGATGGGCAGAACAAGACTGAGAAGCCCACAGGCTCCAGAATAAGAAGAACTCCAGAAATCATTTCCAGTGTTAGGACCCCTCCTGCTCCCTTCTCTGCAGGAGTCTCTAGGAAAATATCAGAAGACAAAGTATGATACCCTGATCCCCACCTTCTATGAATACCTCCCCACCTATGGCCGCAGTGCCTTGCCTGCTGCGTCCCATGACTGCACAGATAGCTCTAGAGCCCTGTGATACACTGCAGTGCCCTGTGCCCTCTGCCTGTTTTCTCAGCTCTGCAGGCAGCTTAGTGGTAATGAAGTGGAAGCTCAGCTGTGGGTTGCCTGAATATATTGATAAAAGTGGTGTAATGCTTAATAATTAGATTTTTGGATTTGTCTCAGCACTGTCTTGATGTGAATAACAGTAATTAACCGCCACCAGTAACTTGCTGGTGACGGCTGCTTTTGTGCCCACACCTGCTGCTTCCATGGATCAGCAGAGGTCATTTATTAGAACTGGCCTTATTAGAGCTAAAGGAGCTCCTTGTTCTTTTTCCTTCCTTGGACAGTGTTACTCATAGGTGCCTAGAAAGGTTACCACAGTTACAAGGGGGTTGGTGCTAACCTAACTCTTCCCACCCTGGAGCATTACCTAGATGCCAGCACTGTGCAGAGATCCAGCATGTCTTCACAGTTGTGAGCTCTCTGTTGAGAGTATTTTAATTATGTCAGCATTTCTGAGCTTGAGATACCTGAGAATCTCATTTAATGAAGATATATTAACAAGATATAATTGTATAGATATGTGCCTCCACACCCAGCTAGTCAAAATTTTTAATTTTAAGGCGAACTTTAGAATTCTTTTCCAGGTCTTTTTTAGGTTAACACTCTTGAAAGAATCAAAAGATAGTTTTGTATCTCTTACAAACTTAGGAAACAGTGTTAATGATTACAAATAGGCTTATACTAAAGGTATAAGTGTGTCTTCTGTATACAACCAAATATTTAGTTAAATTCAGTAGATGTAGATACACATTTTAATTTGCATGATTGAATCACATTAATTGTAAGGAGCAGAGATGTCAGGAAGTTCTGATTATTTTGTATGTTTAACATACTGGTGTAATGTATAAAAGAGATCACTTACTGGTTACTGTGTATCAAACCTATGTATTAGCTTTATAAACTGTACATTCGCACAGTACAACTTAGCATGTTTGTTTTATATCAGGCAAAAGACATGGTATTTAGTGTATTAAAGGTGTTATAATTATAGCACTTAGGAGACTGAGGCAGAAGTGCACTCAAACTGCAAGTTTAAGGCCAGCCTAGGCTACATAGTGAATTCAAGACCAACCTGAGCTGTATACTGCGATCTTTCCTTTTGGTCTCAAAAAACCAAAAGGAAAAGAAAAAAGACTTCCATCCCCATAATTTTGTTTATAGGTTTTTTTTTAAACCATGAGAATGTTTATTTTGCAACTGACTTAATTCTTTTTTTAAAATATTTTTTTTCTTTTTATCGGTGGTGGGGATTGACTACTCAGACTACTAAATACGGGCATGCAGAGAAGGGACTTAGTTCTTTGGCCAGAATTTCTGTTTTTACACAGTCACATTTTTTTTTTTTCCTTCTTCAGGTTTTTAATCATTAGAATTTATCAGAAGTTAAAAGAAAAACACTCAGCTGAATAAATAACACATTTAACTTAAAGACTAGGAACTTTTCCAATATTAAGAATTGAAGTAGCAGGGCTGGGGATTTAGGTCAGTGGCATAAGTACCTGCCTGGCAAGCTCAAAGTCATGAGTTCAATCCCTGGTTCCACAAAAAAAAAAGAATTGAAGCAGCTGAGGTCACATTTATTTGTAGGTCTCTAGATACCTCTAGATTTAGTTAGAAAAATATTCCCTATAAACTACCAAACTGTCATCTCAAAACACCCTGAAAGAGCCAGGTGTGGTGGTGCACTCCTGTAATTCCAGCACTCAAGGAGGCTGAGGCAGGCAGATCATTGCAAGTTCAAGACCAGCCTGGGCTACCAAGTTGAGCCCAAGGCCAGCCTGAACTGCATAGCGAGACTGTCTCAAAAAGTCAAAGGAAAAAAACTTGAAATTTATTATAAATTATATCCATATTCAACACCTTTACAATATCCAGAAAAGTAATAGATTTTTACTAATAATCTGATTCAGCAAAGAGAGTTTATATCTCATGGTAATACCTGACACCTTGTTGCCTGTGCAGAAGCCTGCCCTATACTCCCCCTCATAAATTCAGCATTGTTAAAATGACCCTTAGCCAGTAAATCTCAGGCAGAGCTATCATTGAACAAAGAAATTCTACCAAGATTAGCTTTGACTATTCTTTAAATGGGGCGTGGAATTATGATTGCTTAGGCTGCTGCAAAAGCCCCTGGAGTTGGTGTTATCATGTCTGGGTGTGTCTTGTCCTATAGTTTTTATTGACTGCATCCCTAGGTCCAGTGCAGTTAGTTGTTAGCCAGCTTCCGGAATGTCTTAACTGGCAATAATGTCTCTCAATTGCTATCCCCTAGAACTTCATTAAGTATCAGGTCAGCCCAGGCCACCTGGAATGGCTGGCTTCATTTATTCCCTTCTACATTTTCTTTACAAGCATCCCATAGCCTGCTGCTGTTTTTTTTTACACAAATACACGATGAAAAGATTTCTCTCCAGAACTATGTGGTGTTAGCATTGATTAGTAAATTTCATGCTTAGACAGATTGAAAAACTCAGACTGTCCTCACAGCAAGATGTTCACATGTTAAACTAGTGCTAAATGGTGGACCCAGGCATCTCCCTGAGCTGTGTGCTGGAGACTGTGTGGACTCTTCTTGAGGGATCCTCTTGGGTCTGGGACTATCCACAAAGCTTACAGAATCGCAGAGGTGGAAATGACCAGCCCTAACCAAAAGGGTATTAGTCTTCTGTCCAAGGAATGGCATGTATCTCTTCACTCTGTTCTTTCCTTTACTGTGCAGAAGCTTTTTAATTTGATATCCCATATGTTTATTCTCAGTTTCTTGTGCAATTGAGTATCTATTCAGAAAGTCCTTATCTGTGTCTGTGTCTCAACAGTTTTACCCATTTTATCTTCCAGCAGATTGTTTCTGTGCTGATGTTTTGATCTTTGATCCATTTTGGTTTTATTTAAGTAATGATTAGAAATCTAACCAGTTTTCTGCATGTGGATTGCTGATTTTGCCAGTACCATTTGTTTAAGAGGCTAACTTTGTTGTTATAATTTTTACATTTTTATTAGTATGCATTTGTAATAGTGACTGCACTCTTAGAGGAAGTTGGTATATGTTATAACTTATCTTAATTCTTTTCTTTGTCCTCTTCCTTCCCCTCTTCTCCCATTCCCTCCATCTCTTGGTCCTTCTCCTATTTGCAAAAGATCTGTCTCTCTGTCTTCTATTTTGCTCTTTATTTTGGGTTTCTTATTTAAGAACATCATGCATTATTTAAGCTTATGTGTCTGATTTACTTCACTTTGTCTCAGGGTGCTCCATTTTCCTATAAATGATTCAGGTTTTTCCTTTATGGTACAGTATGTACTCAACTGTACATAAATACACATTTTCTTAATCCATTTGTCTATTAATGGCCATATCCAAGATTTGTGCTGCTGTAAATATGGGTATACATGTTTCAGTATAATATGATGTATTTAACTCTTCTTGGAAGTTATAAAGAGGGGGACTAAATGGGTTGAATGAAATTTTTAGTTTTAGTTTTTTGAAAAATTTCTATACTGATTTCCATCATGGTTCTAGTTTACATTCCCACCATTTGTTCGGTGGTTTCATTCAACCCTGATAGTTGTTTTTTTTTTTGGGGGGGGGGTCTAATGTATTTCGGACAGTACAGTATTGTGCCCCCCCCATAAATGTGTTGGTGTTTATCTGATTTTTTTATGTCCCAGTAATGTTTTGTGAGGTTGTACATGCTGATGTTTGGTGCATATATAATTGGCATCTTTTCCTATTGAATTGTTCTTTGGGGCTGAGGATTTAGCTCAGTGGTATAAGCACCTGCCTTGCAAGCAGGCAGTCATGAGTTCGATCTCCAGTACCGATAAAAAGGAAAAAAAAAAAAAAAGAATTGTTCTTTAATAAATATGTGGTGATTTTCTCTGCCTCTTCTGATTCATTCTAGCTTGAAATCTACTTTGTCTGAGAGTAGGCTAGCTACTTCTGCTTTTTTCCAGGTTCCTATTTTATAGAATATTGTTTTCCAATTTTTGATTTTTAATCTGTGAGTTTCTTTTTTGATTAAATGCTGTTTCTTATAAATAGCATATTGTTGGGTTTTGTTTCTTGATCCCTGCTGCCAGTCTGTGTCTTTTGCCTGAATAATTGAAACCATTTACTACTGCTATGGCAAATTAGCGAGAAATTACCCAGAGAAGGCTGAGAATTGACACAAATCTATGCCATGCCAGAAGTTCTTTTTTTCAAATGTATTTATTTCAAAGAAAAAAAAATTAAAAACACATCAGTCAGGATAACAAGGTACATATATTGCACATTGTCATCCCCAAACCCAGAGCACAATTGTCCAAACCATATGAGCACAAATCTTTCTCTTCAATGAACTCAGAGAAATCAAGTAATATAACTATCTTAACATTTTATATATCTATTTATACATATATTGCATATGTTATTTCTTTTAGCTTCTCATTCTAGTGAAACAATAAAAAGTTCACAGGTGTGTCTGATTTACTTCACTAATGAGTAGGCTCTCAAGTTGCATCCATTTTATCTATAAAAGTCTCTATCCTTCTTTATGCCTGAGCTGTACTCCATTGTGTAAAACTATCCTCAGTTGATGGGCATTTAGGTTGTTTCCAAGATCTAACTAATACAAGTTGTGTTGCTATAAACTTGGGTGCGCAATCTCCAGAAGTTTTTAATACCCTCTCAGTAACCATTGCAACCTTATCACTTTTCTTGGAATTTGCAAGTTCCTCACTTAACTATGGCAACCCTATCATTGTACTTTTAAAAAGTCTTATTTGAGTGTTACTGAGTATTACAGGATCTTCCTAAACATCTGGGTGGTTAACCTTTGATGCAAGCAAGGGTTATCTTGACCATCATTTGTCTCTTCTCTTATGGTTTATGACTACAAGGGATGGAGATTCTCAGGAATTAGAAATAGAATTCTCAGGGCTAGGGATTTAGCTCAGCGGCATAAGCAGGCAGTCTCGAGTTCAATCCATGATACCAATAAAAAAAAAAAAGAAAGAAAGAAAGAAATAGAATTCTCCTAAAGAGTAACTACAAACTAAGATGGAGTCTCCATTGCCTCCACATTTCCCCATTCGAGGACATACTTTTTAGGACATGTGTAGTCCTTCATATGGCAATGGTTCATAACTGGACTTGCATGCATCTGTTTTAGTACTGTCATTTGTTCCTGATTTATACTACTTTGGATGCTATCTTTTACCCAGTTGGTTAAAAATGGCCTAAAAGAGCTGGGCATGGTGGCCCACACCTATAATCCCAGGCTGAGGCAGGAGAATCTTTTCAAGTTCAAGACAGCTTGAGCTACAAAGTGAGCTGAAGGCCAGCCTGAATTGCATAGTGAGACCCTGTCTCAAAAAGACTACATAAAACAAAAAAATGGCCCAAAAGTAGGGAACAGGATTATAATTATTATTGGCCCTGCAAGTCCAGTACCTAATGAAGTCAGCCCCTGAGTCTAGTTGAATATCTGTTCATACCAGCTTTCCTACCTACCATTTTGGTAGGCCTTACCCTGATCCTGAGTGCTCTGGTCCAGTTTTTCTAGTGTTTTGTTTGTTTGTTTGTGACCCTGGAGCTGTTTGCCTAAAAACAGTTTTCCCCTCAGGCTGTACATAGTCCTTTTTATTCCATAAAAAGTAGATTGAGTCCTCGTCTGTTTTGCAGAACCAACTCAGCTAGTGAATTCACTTTATTATGTAGCTGTCCAAGCATATTGCAGACTCCTACTACATCCTGTGCTGTAGTTCATGATACCTCTGTAAGTCTTTGGAGACCCAGCTCTGAACTGACTTGTGCTCCTGTAATTAATCCAGTGGATCCGGCTGTGCTTGTCTTTACCGACACGCAAACCACAGAAGCTCATTAGGATCATGTCTCTTTGGGCAGTAACTGCAGGGACTCATTATCTCTGAACTTCCCTCTTGAATTATTCGGATTTGGGGGGACCAGCATTGTCAGGAGGTAGGGACCCATACCTGTAAAGGGTCCAGACATTTAAATCCATTAATACAGAAAAACACAAGTTCCCTTTGGTGCCCAGTATATCGAGTCTTGGGACACAGTGTGGTTACATGTAACATGGTTGTGTCCCTGGCCCACACAGGACCCCTGTCTGTACCCAGTTTCTATAATAAGTAGAGGTAGAGGCTCTCCCTCCTCTGGGGTGCAAGTTGGGTGAGGGCAACTACCTCCCAAAAGCGGGGGGGTCCAGTCCTAAACACATCCAGGGTGTTGTGGCTATTTCCAGGTCTAATAGATGAAGGACATGATGAGTTTCATTGAGCACTGTGTAAATACACGTTTGTGTACTTACCTCTGCAGTGTTAACACGGGTACTCTCAGGCTGAGACATTCTCCTTCAAGGGAACAATGGGCAAAACCTTTGACTTAGAATTGTCTGGGTGATACAATTCTCAGGAGAGTGCAGGAAGAAGGGTGGCTGCCTTTCTTGGAGTTATTCCTATTCTGGATATATAGATGAAGATTCCCGGATCTCTCTATTCTATTTTTCATGTGTACATGTGAACACCCCAAGGGAGTCCCGATGCCCATGTGAGATCATTAATGTCTTTGAGGATTATTCTAATCTGCATAAAAACAGTACTCAGTATGGTAACAAATCTGCTTTTCTCGGGTCAGAGATTTAGCTCAGCAAACATAAGTGCCTGCCTGGCAAGTGCAAGGTTGAGAGTTCAATCCCTGGTACACACACACACAGAAAGAAAATCTGCTTTTCTCTATACACCTGGATAGGTCATTCATTCTGAGCCCACCAGTGCAATTCTGGTTCTTAAGTTTGGTCCTGCCCATCATACCATCCTCCCTGAAATCCTACACTTGCTCATAACCCCAGCATGGGCAGTATGCTTCCCTTTCATTATTAAAATTTCTCCCTTTTTACCTTATGCATAAATGTAGCCCAGAGTTTACTAGGTCTGTATCATTGCTGTGTCTGTTGATTGCCTTTTTCTGAACCTCACACACACAGAAGGGGTGACTTTTATTCTTGTCTTGCCACCAGTGAGGGTTCCAAATTTTACATATAGGGATTACAAATCTGACAGGATAAATGGATTTAGGGAGAAAAATCAACAGATTGCTGGTCATAGGGGAAACACTGTGATGCCCGCTCAGCTTGTTTAATCCCAGTAGTCTTGTGGTCATTCAATCATGTAATTGCAAAAGTGTTCCCCAGACTTACCAGGGATAGCTGTCTTTAGCTGTGAGCTGGTTTCTTCCAAAAGCAGCAGCAGGAGAGCTGGAACCGGCAGCAGCCTGGGTCATGACTCAAGTCCAGCTGTAGTGAGCATCTGTCAGAGTCTTTGGGAGCATCATGGTGAGTAGGTCTCTGATGCAGCTGATAGAGGCCCACTTCTTGACTCAGGAGTGAGGAACCCATGGAGTACAACCTGAAAGGGTATTTTTGGATTTTTGAGGGGGAGAAGGGGTTTGTTTTGGTTTTTATGTCTTTTTTGAGACAGGGTCTCACTATGCAGTTCAGACTGGACTTGAGCTCCCTTTGTAGGTCAGGCTGGTGTCGGACTCCAAACAATACTCCAGCCTGAGCCTCCCAAGTGTCAGAATGCACCACCACGCCCAGCTAACCTGAAAATTTTAAAGCGATTGGGATCATTAACAGGACTTTATCCCCCATCCCCATTTTGGTTGGAGGGGCTCCCCTTTCTGTGCTTTAAGACTTTGTCTTGGTTCAAAACAATGGACCAGGCTGGGGATTTAATCAGCCCCATAAGCGCCTGCTTGGCAAGTGCAGGGTCGTGAGTTTGATCCCCAGTACAAAAAGACCAGATGGTGAATCAGAATTGGATGACATTACAGCAGTCTCCTGGAGGTCCTTTAACATTTACTGACAAGTCCGAAGTCCCAATCTCTTGAAGCCCTTCTAGTGCAGATACAAGCAGAGTCAGTCCATCCCAGTACTGGGTGCACCATGAATGGAGAAGCCACAGGAAGCATTATGACCCAGTTTGCCCCACTCTCTTGTCAAAGCTTTGCCAATTTGGTTTTGTTTTTCATACAACCTGAACTCTGAGATTGATAGGCTGTATGTAGCTTTCATGTAAATTCCAAGGCCTCTGAGAGACCTTTAATTACTCAACACTTTAAAAAGCAAGTCTGTTATCTGGACTCAGTTATGGGGAGCCTGTAAGGAGGTATCATTAACTCCATTAGGGCTTGTAACTACTTCCTTTGATGTCTCAGTCCTAGTAAGGGAGCACCTCCACCCAGCTCAGGACTGGCAAATACTTTTTGTTTCCTCTAGTGGACTTGATTTCAGTAAAGTCTACTGCAACATCTTCAAATGGCAAAGTTCCTTGTCTCTGGACACCCAATTGTAAAGGCTGTGCAACCAGGTTGTTATGGGTGCAGGCTTCACATTGTGAAGCCACCAAAGCTCATAAAGTCTACAGTCAGCACAAATGGTGGCCAAGCAGGCATCTCATAGCAATCTTCCCCATGTGCATGTGGCTGTGTAAGTGCTATATGACATAAAGTCCCAGAGTTTCCAAGAGGAAGACTCCTCCTTCTGGTAAAACTTGTCACCCAGTTTCTCTGTGGCCCTTTGCACTTCAGGCCATGACAGCTCCTTTTTTGAATACTTGAGTGGCTTGAGCAGTGGTACCACCAGGACACAAGCTGTAGGAAATTGTTTTCCAAGAGCAGCCTATTTAGTAGCTAAGTCCCCTGCATGATTTCCCTGGGCTTCTAATGACTCATTTTTCTGTTTTCCTGAGCGATGTATTACAACTACCTTGGAGAGAACCAGATAGCTTGTAACAACTTCAGTATTTCTTGGGAATTTTTAATGTCCCTCCTACTGTTAGTAAGCCTCTCTCCTGGTAGATGACACAGTGCAATTGTAGGATAGCAAATGCATAGTGAGAGGCACAAAGTGAGAGCAATCAGTTCACTGTGCTGAGGTCCCAGGAAGCAAAGCCTCTGACCAAACAGTCTGTTCAAGGGAAGTGACTGCTGTATTTGCCCTCTGAACCCATTGATAACCTTGGTGCTGCTGTCTGCAAATAGGCACAAGTCCAGGACCTGGAGGGATGTCCTGCAGGTTCAGCCAGGTGGAATACACCATCTTGATGGCAAGTGTGCAGTTATGTTTAGATGACTCCAGGTGTGTGGGCACAAGAGTGTGTGTGTACAATGACTTGTACAGTTTTGATAGTCTAAGGTCCTCTTATAGGGTTCCTTGATATTGAGCCAGTCTGGTTTCTGCTATTTACCATCAGGGCCTCCCAACAGGGTTTCCATTGCATGGGGTACAAACACGTTTAATTTCTTCCCCAAAGTGAATTTATCTGTTTCTTTTACTAAAATGGCCATGGTGGTAGTGGAACATAAGAAAGCCATCCAGCCACCACGGAGTCCAGTCTTAGATATGCCACTGCACATTTTCATGGCCTTTCTCATGGAGGAAAAGTTGGAAAAGCTTCGTGATATCAGGCAGTGCCAGAGCAGGGGCACTTATCAGTCTCTCTTTGAAATCCTTAAAAGCTGGCTGGCATTCAGGGCTCTACTCCAGCAAGGGACCGTTTCCCACTCTCAAAGCTTCATGTGGAAGTTTTGCTATTGCTGCAAAATTAAGGTGACAATATCTGGCAGCTTCTAGTTCTTTCAGTTGCTTCCTGGTTACTGATACTTTAAGGCCCTGGATGGCCTGCGTGCATGTAGCTGACAGAATATGTCCCATCATTTAACATAAACCCCCAAAATTCAAGTTTGTATACAAATTTGAGCCTTTTTCTTACTTACTCATACCCCTTATCTTGGAGCAGTCCCTGCAATTTTTTGTCCCCTCCTGACACAGTTTGCATGTTTCAGCAGCTAAAATCAAATCATCTACATAACTGTAACAGATTTCAGGATTTTCCTGGCTAAAAGGAACTAGATCTTTGGATAAAGTATCTGCAAAAATTGGCAGAGAATTCTGAAACCCTTATAACCTTGTCCTGGTTAGTTGACACCTTTATCTCCCCTCAGGTTCCTCCCACTCAAAAGTAAGTATGTCTTGCGACCCCACAGACAAGGAAATACAGAAGAAAGCATCCTTTAGATCTAACACAGTATACGAGGTTCGTGTGGGGGAGGTAAGCAGGATATAGGAGTTTGGAACTGTAGGGTGAAGTCATAAACACATTATTTACAGATCTTAAGTCCTGGACTGTCTTATGTCTTATGCTTAAGTCCATCTGTCCCATGCTTCTGGACAGGCAGAAAAGGTGCATTCCGTGGGGACTGCATTCTCTCAATATTCCCGCTTCCAGTATTCTTTTCACATAGGGTTTAAGTCCCTTTCTTCTTAACCTCCATGGTCATTGGGTACTGCTTCAGCTGGACCAGCTTCATATGTCCTGCTAATTCCATTATCACCAGTGGGCACATGAGCCACCAAACCAGGGGGGGTTGTCCTCTGGCCAAACCAAGGGGAAATGCTGAGTCCAAGAAAGAAGATCAGGGCCTTTGGCTGTCACCCTTTGCTTCTCCAATTCCCAGAGGTGATATTCTTCCTGCATAGGAGAGGTTACTATGAGAACATGATCCTCAGATGAAGGTTCCTCTCTGGTAGTCAAAATGGTTTCTGAAGGGGTAAGGGTGAGGGTACAGCTTGTGAAGATCTTGGCTCAGGAGGGGGGAAGGACAGTTAGACATAAGCACAAAGGAATGACTATTTGCTGTCCAAGCCAAATCTGCCATCACTCACAGAAAAAATAGGTAAAGGTTTGGCCAATCATCCCTTGCATCCCTTGTTTTCCTACTTATGAGTGGGGCTGCCAGCTGAGTAACTACAGCTACATCTGTACCCTTGTCCACCAGGAATTTAACAGGTTTCCCTCCAACATTTACAGTTAACATAAATTCCTTGGGGCTGAGAGACAGGGAACCGTGACTCGGTCAGTCTAAGACTGCCTCTGTATCCATCACTAACATTTCCTTCTTTTTCTTGTAGCAACTTTGGACATTCTCATTTGAGATGCCCTATCTCCTTACAATAGGTACACTGGCTTGGGTCTGAGGGGATGCATCTTGCTCCTTGTTGAGAGCATTTTTCTTCCTTTTTTAAAATCCCTGGTCTCTGCCTGAGCCTCCTTTCTATAAGTGGCTAATATTTTCTGTTCCTCCAGAAGTGTCTATCTTTTATCGTTTCTATTATTACATACTTTCTGAACCACTCTTCAACCAACTGTGCTATGGCCATTTCTGTAGACCCATCTAGTTCTGTAGCTTGCAGCAATTGTCAGCAGCCAACTGAATGACAGAAGGCATGTTTATCATCCTAATGTTCCCCGCTTGCTAGAGGTTGAACAGGGTATGTGTTCAGTAAGCCTCAGGAGGTGCTCAAGGAATGCAGATGGGCTCTCCTTGGTCATCTGACGTACCTCCACTCTGCAAGTTTGTGGAGAGACGGGCAGCTGCAAGAAGCCCTTTTATCATGGCTGCATGATACACATCCAGATTTTGAGCCCCTAGGGCTACATTCAAGTCCCAGTTAGGTGTCTCTCAGGGAATAACATGTTTTACCCTCTCAGCAATTTTCAGCTTAGTCCCTTGCCCTTCTGACCTTATGTAATCCTCAGCAGCTTTCCAGATTCTTTCAGGGACTGAGAGCTGAGGAGGACATCTCAGCTGTCCTGTTGTTGTACTGAGCGCCCCTTGCAGGGTGTAGGACTCAGCACCTAGTTCTGAGGGTTTCTTGTCCTCAAGAGAGAGTCTGCTACTGGCTTCAGGGAGGCTTAGTGGAGACAGCATCCACAGGGTGCAGCTGGCCCTGCGTGGGAAGAACTGGCTGCTCCTGCACTCTAGGGTGCTCAGTATGGAAGAGGTAGTACTGAAGAGGTAAGACAGAGGGGTTCATCCTCCTCAGAAGCTGGGGGAAATACAGGGGATTTTGTGCCAACAGTGTTTTTCTTGAATCATCAGAACCTATTGAGGAAATTCCCAGACATACAATTTGAGCCATAGGGTCAACACGTGAACCACACATAACCAGAAATCAATACACGGAAACTGATCTAGATGCCCTGGGTTCCTGGTGACAACGTTTCATACCCTACTTAGGGGTCAAGTGTCCCCTCTGAAAGCCATGCAACCTTAATAGTAGGCCACTCTGTCTCACAAAAAGCTTGGAGTTTTCCCTTTCTCATCTTAACCCATAATCACTGCCTTTAAACTTGACAAAATTCTTAAGCATACATTTCAGAACAGTCAGTGTTCTGCCAGTTGTGCCCACTGTGACCAGAGTTCAAACAAAACTCACAAAGCCACAGCCTTATCTTGGCAAGTCCTCCCTCCTCCACTCACCCAAGGAAACAAAGTCTGAGACTAGCAAAATGTGAAAAGATGGCAATCTTTGCAATGATCTGCTGCAGGCAAGCTGAGCTCTTCTGAGTTTCCTGGTATAGAACTGCAAGGGGTAGTCCGGGGAGGTAGACCATAGCAAATAAGGGGGATTTCATTCTACCATCTCTTTGAAGGCAAATATTTTTATTACTGTTTTGCTCTATTCTCTAACAGCTTTCTTTTAAACAGCTTTAACGGGTCTGTCCCTGTGCCAGACTTCTGGGGTTTTGACTATGATGTGTTTTGGAGGGGTTCTGTTTTGATCATGGCTGTTTGGGGTTCTATATGCATCACTTATCTATATTTCTTTCCTTATATTGAGAAGCTTTCTCACTGTTACTTCTGTAAATAGGTTTTTTTTATGCCATTTGTGCTGTTGTCTGATTTTTCACTTAACCCAGCCAATCTTAAATTAATCTTCTTTGCCTCATCTGGCAGCTGTTGGATCCGTTTTTCATATTCTCTTGTTGTTTTTAAGGTCTGAATAGCTGATTTCTGACACGAGCCCTGACTTCTAATTCTAATGCTCTGTCCTCACATTGGTCACTTCTGCTTGTACTTTCAAGATAATTTTTTTTTAAGTTCCTGAATTTCTATTTGAAACCTTTCCATGGATTCAAATTCTTTGCTAAACTGGTCATTCATGTTTGTATAATTTTGTTTAGCTCAGCTAGCTTTTTATTAGTGTCTTCTGTAATATCCCTGATTACCTTGTTTATTACATCCATTATCTTTTGAATTATATCTTTTGTGAGCCTACTGGGCACTTTGATTTTTTTTCATCTTACACAATTTTATTTTGAAAAATATCAGAAGTTATCTGGGCAAGGAGAAAGTGTTCTACTTAATCAACTTCTTTGTGTTTTTCTGTATTAAATTATATTTTAGATCACGTATGGAGTACATGCTTATAATAGCAGCACTTGAAAGGCTGAGGCAAGAGGATCATCATGAGTTTGTGGCCAACCTGGGCTATATAATGAATTCAAGTCCAGCCTGTACACAGTGAGACCCTGTCTCTAAAATAAAATAAAATAAATTTTAGAATAAAACATCTAGATGCTGATGTTGTACCAAATATGCAGGTAAGATGATGTAGAGTCACCTTTCACAGTGAATGCATGAGTCCCATAATGAACTGAACTTTCCCTTTCTAGAGCACTAAAACAAAAGCACATCAGGGTGAATGATTTGGGGATGACAGTGCACAATGTATACACCATTGTTGTCCCCAATTGATGTGTTTGGATTTTTTTATTTTTTTCTCTTCAAAATAAAATGAATTAAAAAAATAAGTTTGTAGCACAGTGATGCATATATATATATGTTTTACTCCTGCTGAACACCAAGGGGTCAGATATATTAGTGATGGTAACTAATGAAGATGATGACTATGATGATAATGACGATAAAATAATAAAGAATTCCAACAGAGTTAACTTCTTGGACAGTTAGTTGGTAAGAGGTGAGTTGTTTCTAGTTATAGAGCACCTGACTGTGGTACACTTAGTGATGTTGTCATGGAAACCTGCATGGATGAAGCACAGGTCATTATTGCACGCAGAGAATGTTTGCAGATGTTGGAGTGTTTGCATGATAATCAAGTTATCCACTGAGACATCAAAAGTGATGATGTGCTTTTGGGAATAGAAGGATGGGCTAAATTTACTGATTGGTTTTTGTGTCCAGATAACCCATAAGCAGATCAAATGCAATACCATTGTTGGAACCCCTTACTGGATGGCACCAAAGGTGGTTACCTTGAAAGCGCATGCTTTCTGGGTGCCATTACTATTGAGATGGTCAAAAGAGCCTCGGTGGGCAACCCCACTTTCTGGGCCCCTTCTGTCTCTGTTGGACAGAAACTATCTTTCTCTCAATAAATTCTTCCTATTCTTAATCTCCATTGTTCCTAGAATTCATTCTTCGATTTTAGACAACACAGACTCAGTGTTTCAGACATCTAGCAGTCAGGAGTCATATTTCCCTTGTATTATTTGGATTACTTGGAGAGTCTGTACCATCCTTATATCATATGCTCTATGTCATATGGAGGTCTTCCACAAAGATAACTGGATGGAAGTAAGAGTTTGCTTTTGTTTCATAGATTCTGGATTGTGACTCACTTAAGTAATCAAAAATTTTATGCTTTAAATTTTATTTTATGTCTTTGTCAATTGCTTAGTGTTTTGTTAAAATGATAAATTTAAGTTGAGAACACGGGGAGGCTATGATACTTGTTTAATGGGACAATTTGTTCTTATTTTGTATACACTGCATTTGGATTTAGTTGCTGAATTAACTAGTGTTAGCTGAATTATTAGCTACATGCCTATAATCCCAGCACTCAGGAGGCTGAGTCAGGAAGATGGCCTCAAGCTCATGGCCAGATTGGCCTACATAGTAATCCGTACCAGCCTAAATACATAATGAGACCTTGTCTCCAAAAAATAAATAAAGAAAGAAAAACAAAACAAAACATCTGAATTTACTAGCATTCCTAGCTTGACCTGATTATTATGGTTTGTTATCTCAGACAACAGTGCTAAGGAAAAGTTGTGTTACAGTGACCCCTAGTGGACTTTGACATGAAGTGCTATAAAATGGTCTTTATGAAATCTAGTTTATATTTAGAAACTTCATACCTAATTAATAAATCATGGAACCCCTTCCATCAGTTAAAGGTAGGTAGGTCAGTGGCCATTCTTAAGACTTGGAGGACAATTGGTGGTACACATCTGTAATTCCAGCACTGAGGAGGCTGAGGTAAGAGGATTGCTGTGAGTTCAAGAACAGCCTGGGCTTCAAAGTGAGCTCAAGACCAGCCTAAACTGCATGGTAAGACTTTGTCTCAAAAAGAAAAAAAGACTTGAGCAAGTTTCACTGAGACAAACTGGCTTGACCCTTCCCTACAAGCTGAAGAAAATGTTGAGTCTGTTTTGCCTGTTTCATGTCTGGTCTGATCTCTCGCTGGTGAGGATCTTTGTGATCTTTGTGATCTTTCCCTGCTACTTTGTCCTTTCCTTTTTTGGAGTCATGTAAGGTAGAGAACTCTAAACTTCCACACCTTTTCCTCTAGCCCAACTAAGAACCTTTAAGTTAAGTCATATAAAATGAGTGTTTGCTAACACCAAAGACAGGGAAGTCACCTGAGATGAGGAAGTCATATCCCTTCTCTGGGTCAGATGAGACATTAGAATTTTGCCCATCCAGGAGAACACACAGAGGCAATGCTGTTGGAGACTTTTCTTAAAGCCTTCATTGAGAGCTGTACTACAGATTTGGGCTTTTTCTCTCTCTGCTAGTAAGTTAGTTTTTCTCCAACTCCTCAGGACTTTAAAACCACCTTGTCCTCAGACTGCCCCTCCCTCCAGAAAGGCCGAGGCATCTTGCAACAACTGTTTGTCTTTCACCAAGGAAAGAAGCCATCAAGAGAATGATTTACAAAAAAAAAAAAAAAAAAAAAAAAAATGGGGCTGAGGATTTAGCTCAGCGGCATAAGTGCCTGCCTTGCAAGCAGGCAGTCGTGAGTTCGATTCCTGGTACCAATAAAAAGGAAAAAGACCAAAAAAAATGATTTACATTTATGCCTTGCGTGTACTAAGAGTAAAAAAGATTTTATCCATTCTACTCTTTCATTTGCATGTAGAAAACTGATACAGCTGGGTGTGATACACCTGTAATCCTATTACTTGGGAGGCAAAGGCAGGAGAATTGTGAGTTTGAGGTCATCCTGGGCTATGTAATGAGTTCGAAGCCAGTCTGACCAGCATCATGCAACCCTGTCTCAAAAAACAAAAAAACCAACCCCAATACATTTGGCTTTACTAACATATGAACTGTGGCTGCTAGATGATGATATAAGTGTAACTTGTGAGCTTCACAAACATATAAATTTTAAAATGGACTTGAAAAAGCATAACCTTGTCTTGCTGCTAAGAAAGGTTGCCTACGTGGTTAGAGAGATGACACAAATGCCTTAGAGGCTTCTTTACCCTAGAACTTAGGGCACAATTTCTCCAACCTATTTACCTTATCTCTAAAAGTGGTCTCTTTTGTGGGATATGAAAGTACTGACCTTTGATCTGTTCAACTGTCTGTCTTGCTCTCTCTCGAATCAGAAAGCAGTGCTAAGCAATGCTTCCTTCTTTAAACATGACTATTACAGCTGAACTCAATTACAACTTGTTTGTTTTGTTTTGTTTTTTTCTTTAGTTTTAAATTTTTTCTTCTTTTCTTTTTATCCTTGAAATAAAATGGATTTGGAAAAAATATGTAATTTGTTTTAAAAACACATACCAGAGTTAGCAATTTGAGTTCCCAGGGATGATGTGGTCATGCACTGCCTAAGGATATCTAATCCAGCAACTATATATCTTCTACGTATCTCCTGTCCTTTGTCTTTCAGACAGCAGACACTTACTCTGGAGTGAGTCACCTTGGGGACACCTTGGAGATATAGAAATCAAGTAGAAATTTAAAGGGCTACCAATTCTTTCTTTGTATTCTCAGATGTGAAAGCTGATGACAAAATCTCTAACTCCTTTGGAATATATTCTTAGTCACTAGGAAATGTTCAACCCTTATGTGTTAAGAGAAGAACTACAGTATTTTTCTGTACCTGCACACGGCCTACCTACTCCCTAGAACCAAAATAAAATACAGCGGGAAATTTTAATTATGATACTGTGTTACAACTCGAATTGTAAGAAAAAGTGGTCAGATTTACCTTATGTTTAGATTTTCTTTGCATTAAGAAAAAATATTTGTGTTCAAACCAAATGTACAACACAAGAAAACCAGATACTTAGTCCTTAAGGCATCCAGTATTACTGAATCTAAGGACAATGTTTCCAAGGTGTAGGAAACCACTCAGACTGTTTCAAAGCTCAGGAGCATCTAAGAACGTTTAAATATGTGACCCCACTTCAGTGAAAGAGCATAGCAGGATAGTTATGTAACCATGACTTAACAATGAACAATTACACATGTGCCAATGAGGATAGTATGTAAGAATCTAAATATGTGATAACAACATGTATAAGACTCGTACAATAAAGACACAGGCTGCTCTTGTGCAAAAGCACAAGAGTGCAAAAGCACTCTTAATCCACTAAGCAACTACTGCTGCTGTGTTGCTGATAGCTGACTGCTTTCTTTGGGGATCTCACACATGAATTTACTTCTTCATCCTTCTCAACCCCAATACAAGTCAACTTTAATACAAGCCTTGCCTACCATTACTGAGTCTGAGGCTTCCCCTATTCGTTCTTTGGGTCCTTGAGGGTGGAGTTTCTAGGCCAGCTACAACTAAAGTCTCCATGAGGCTGTATCCATCCTTAGCTGAATTTTTTCAAGCTCCTCAAGGGCAGTATCCTCTAAAGGAAGTAATGAGTAATTTGGAACTACCTACATTCATGAATCCTTTTCTCTCAGTAACCTAAAACAAATCAAGCAAGAGCTAGGAAAGTTCTCAGGTGACCCTTATAAGTACATTGTGCTCTTTAGAGAATTTACTCAGGCCTATAAACTAGATCAGGGAAATGTAATCAAACATTGATTTAAATCAAACATTGACTTCTAATGAAAGACAATTGGTACAGACTTTAATCTGTGAGTTTCTTAACTGTATTATGGATACCCAGGGATATAATTTTCAGAATGGGTTTAAGCAGAGCCTTTATAACACTGCTGCAGGGGGAAATTATCCGGTGATTGGATAGAGAACCCAAAATGTCCCAAAGACCTCCTAGTGCTGCGGCCAAAATTTTTTTTAACTATTACCTGTCTCTGTCTGTCCCTGGAGGTGATAGATATCTTTAGAACTTTTTGATTAAAAGTCATTTATTAGAAAGTAAACACTAAACAATATAACTAAAATGTTCTCATTTTCTCTCTCTCTTTTAAAAGGTTAAAAGCAGCCTTTCAGGTTCTTTGATTATTGGTTTAATTTTCTGCTTGGCAGTTCAGTTGCAGTTAATCATAGCTTTTGTCTCTGGAGGCATGTTTTGTTAAGGATTAGAGACACCCTGGGAAAGCTCTTGATCTTAATTGTGTTTCTGCAGTTGAGTTGGCTAGAATTTAGTTCTTGTGCCATACTCAGAGTCATTCTTCTCTCCCTTCTTCACTACCTTGCCTGAGAAATAACAGTTCACAACAGTGTTTGGTCCAGGGTAACTCTCTTCTTCATGTCTGCTGGATTTTAGGACCAAGCTTCCAGAATGGTGAGTTTAGTCCCTGGGACATTTGCAGAGTAAAACTGACTTTTAACTATCTCTGGGCTATATTCTAAAAAATTGGTCTATATTTAATCCAGAACCTTCAAAGAATAAATGTAACGTTTTGGTCTAAGTTTATCTGCCTTTCAGTCCTTACGCAGTGTTTGAGATTAACTCCTCTTGCCTCTTCCCTCAAGAATGATGCTGACTGTCTTTTATAGCACAGGGCAGACGGACCAACTTTTATGACCCAGATAAGTTCATTGATAGAACAAAATATTCCTAGGAAAACTTACGAGTCTAACTACAGTTTAACTTTTACTAGCCCCCCCCCAGCCATCTGACTATCAAACCAACAATGAGAAGCCTGTATAGCAGGATATTCCAATCAGATAAGCCATCAGCCTAGGGCCTGTGTTAAAAACTGTCTTTGCTTTCGTAGGTATAAAATGTTTCTGTTCTTTCTGATTCTTATTACAAGAGATCTTTGTAACTTGATGTACAAAAAAATTCTAGAAGTGTATTCATAGTAATTTAAAGCTGTAAAAGAGTTATTATAATTCAACTTGGCCAAATATATCCTAGTGCACTCTTGTTTTATAAACAAATTGTCTTATGCATGTTTGTCCATCTGTCTGTCCAATCTGTAACCAGTGCCTATACTTCCAGCTGTTTTGTTTGAGGTACGTGATTTTTTTTTTTGCCTTCCGGATTTTTAAAGTATTTGTCAGTAATTTAAATTGGCTTGAAAATAAATGCCATTAGAGTTAAAGACATGCTTCCACCCAATTTGCCAGCTAAGGAAAGTGATGTCAAGACTAGTTTTACAAATGCAATACATATTGTTGTCTGTGTACTATAACTCAGAAATCTTTCATTATTAAAGAATAATGTGTTAATCATTAAGATTTAGTTCTCACAGGTCATCAAAAATTTGTTAAGATAATTAATTTGGGACACTTTAGTCTTAAGAAGTTGCTGGATAGGATTGTCCTTAGTGAATAAAGGAGTGGCTACCTAGAAATATTTTCTTCCAGGCTTTTTTCACCAATGGAATCCCAATAGTTTCCATATTCTAAAGAGAGACACACCCCAATAAACATTGCCAAACATATTACTGTGATATGTTTACACTAGTCATCATCAAAAGGCTAAGTTTTCTGTGGTTAAAAACAAAGAAATTTCATTAAAAGATGTTCTTGATGTAAAACTAAATTGACAAAAAAAGGACTTCTCTCATTATTGCTAATTTCATAGTATACTAACTGTATTCATGCCTTCTGGGTGTACAAGTCTTCTAAGATATAAAACCAGGATTGTTTATAGTGATAACTGTTGGGAGCCGCAGCCCCGAGCCCGGTCGCCTCACTTGGCGGACGTGAGGCCTGTAGTAAAGAGTGAGGCCTGAGGTAGATTACCCCTCCCATCGAATATGTTAGTTTCCTGCTTACCGCGTAAACAACCCGCTCAACAATATAGTCTGCCTGGCAACTGATGATGTTAGCCAATCAGCTTGCCTTGCTTACTTTAACATGATTGGACACTGTACCCGTATATATACCGGTGCCACCCCTGGGCGGAAGTAGAAGCCAGGTAGAAGCCCGGAAGTAGAAGCCCAAAAGGAGCCGCGGAGAGCGGACCGGTAGAGGCTTTGGGGCAGACTGAAGCACAAAAGGAGCCGCGGGGAGCGGACCAAAGGAGGCTTCAGCTGGGAGAACCCAGGGCAGGCTGTACGGAGAAGGAAAATAAAAAGAAAAGGTTGTCCACTACCAGACTTTGTCGTGTGTCCTTCCTGCCGGCCGGGAGCGGACATCGACATTTGGTGGCCCGCCCGGGGACTGATCACCCCCGAGACGTGAAGTGGACAACGCTCCAGTACAGAGCTGCGAGACAGGTGAGTTGGGGATAAGCCTGGGCTCTGGGTGGCGCGCACCTACAGGGCTTTTAGACTCCCCTCAGGCTCACGCGTAAGTGGCGGATTCCTTGGGCCTCACGCGGTGAGTAACATATTAAAAAATGGGAAACATGCTAGGTAGCAACACTAAGAGCGAGGGTGGTTGTGGAGAAAGCTCTCAAGAGCTTACAAAAGTACGCAGGGTATCTGAGCAGGCCCAGTCAGGGAGCTCCCGAGAGGTGTCTGTCAAGGGGAACAAGGATGCTAAGGAGGAGGACGGGGCTCTAGCCTCGGAGTCGTCTGACTCCGAGGACGAGGGAAAGTTGAATGGCAGGGAGGCCAAAGAGACCAGCTGTCAGGAGCCTAAGTCGCTCAATAAGGAGTCGCAGGGTTCTTTTCCAGCGTTGCCCCGCGAATTGCGCTCTGCTCAACCTGGTCTGCGGAGGAGTAGAGAGCTCCTGAGTGCGCCCCGGCGCGAGAGGGAGGCGAAGCCTTCCGCCCCACCTTGGGGGCCGTTTCCGGAGGCGGTCCCTCGCCACGAGGCGGCCGCCTGGGAGCTCCCTCCCCTTTCGCCAGAACAGGAAGTGATGCACGGGCCCCCATTTTCCGCCCAATCACGGCCGCTGTCTTATGCTCCGCCGCCGGCGGGTCGGTATTTTTACAGGCGGCTTTGGCAGGGGGGACGCTTGTCTCATGAGGTACATCCACCTGGGATAGATAGTGGCCCCTACGAGATATTTCCTGTACAAGTAGCTATGGGCCAGGGACGCAATGTATGGGAGCCTTTTGAGATAAAGCAGATTAGAGAACTTAAAAATGCAGTTACAACCTTTGGGCCGACTGCGCCTTACACCATTGCCATGCTGGAGAATCTGTCTTCTGGGCCCCTCACCCCCGCGGACTGGATTCAGCTGGCAAAGGCGTGTCTGCCCTCGGGTAGTTACACAGAGTTCTCTGCCGAGCAGGCTGAGAAAAACGCCGGTCGAGGAAATGAGGGCTGGGGATTTAGCTTAGCGGCATAAGTGCCTGCCTTGTAAGCAGGCAATCGCCAGTTCGATCCCTGGTACCAATTAAAAAAAAAAAAAAAAAAAAAAGATAAAAATAAAAAATAAAAAATAAAAAACAAAAAGGGGGAGTAAGCCAAGGCCTGCCTCCAAAGGCGCGGTTATCTATGACAGGACAATGGATGGGCCCGGATCCAGTGGTCAGCTGGAACCGAGGCGCGGTTTGTGTTTTCCCACAGGAATCGGGACGAGAACCACTGTGGATACCGGAGAGACTGACACGGACAACAAAGCCCTCGACTAAAGATCAGACCTGCCCTACTGGAGATCCATCACAGACCAACCAACAAGATGAATAGAAATAGCGGTAGCCCGAAATGGACAAGAAGATCCTCAGGCATATGCATGGCTCGCTCGCCTAGCCTACGACCGAGTCTAGGGACGGTGAGCTTCCCACACTCCTCCTCTAAAAAATTATGATATAGCAGGGTAGATGAGTCAATGACGGGTAAGAGCGTGCCTCCCCAGCACGACTCGACCTAAGCCAGGCCCTACCCCATCCTGCACGTAAGCCGCTGGACTGTTAGATGCTGCCCAGGTCTAAATTTCTCTCCGAGGGGATTTCTTTACGGAGAGGAAATGAGTGCAAGCTTGTGTGCATCCAGGTTCCGTCCAGTTTGTGCCTGGCCCTAGAAAAAGGACGAGGGCCTCAGGGCCTTGGCAGACCATGGGACGGCCGACCAGGGTCTAAGCCAAGGACCTACGGTGGGCCTACACATAGGGCATAAGCCTCTGCACCCAGTCCAGGAAGGGCTACGATGCGCACATTCATAAAAAATAAAAAAGGGGGAGATGTTGGGAGCCGCAGCCCCGAGCCCGGTCGCCTCACTTGGCGGACGTGAGGCCTGTAGTAAAGAGTGAGGCCTGAGGTAGATTACCCCTCCCATCGAATATGTTAGTTTCCTGCTTACCGCGTAAACAACCCGCTCAACAATATAGTCTGCCTGGCAACTGATGATGTTAGCCAATCAGCTTGCCTTGCTTACTTTAACATGATTGGACACTGTACCCGTATATATACCGGTGCCACCCCTGGGCGGAAGTAGAAGCCAGGTAGAAGCCCGGAAGTAGAAGCCCAAAAGGAGCCGCGGAGAGCGGACCGGTAGAGGCTTTGGGGCAGACTGAAGCACAAAAGGAGCCGCGGGGAGCGGACCAAAGGAGGCTTCAGCTGGGAGAACCCAGGGCAGGCTGTACGGAGAAGGAAAATAAAAAGAAAAGGTTGTCCACTACCAGACTTTGTCGTGTGTCCTTCCTGCCGGCCGGGAGCGGACATCGACAGATAACCTCTTTTAGACTAAGACAACCGTCTTTCTCTTGCATTCCAGCTATATGTTATAAGATATACATGTTCAACCAGCATGAGATCACCAAATAATAGCTTTTTTAAAAAATAAACTTATGCAATGTGTACATTATATGTGTCAAGCTTAGAGATACTAGGGTACCTACCTGTCTGAACAATGTCATACACTAAGATTAAAGGCTAGACATTATACACTTCTAAGATACATCTATAGGCTATAGGCTAGAACATTCTCCTTAGATGATATCCTATTAAAGAATAAAAAATTAAGTGAAAGTTTTCTTTGTGTCACTTAATATTTTGTGCTCAGATGGAAAAGTTGACTAAATGATCTATTCTCTGTTAAGACAGACATTTAAATGGGTTACAAAATAACATCGTCATGCTTGTCATGCTAAAATATTGTTTGGCTTTTTTCTCTGTAAACTATATAACTGTTGTCTGTTTACATTCTTCAGGGATGTAGCTACAAAACAACTGTAGTTCATAGGAAATAACAGTTTTTTGGCTATACTTTATATTTTAAAGTGCTTGATATCCAGATAAAAATATGATAGAATCTATTACTCCCACTACAATACTAATGTCACTGATCTTTCTCTTCTGGATGTTCGACAACTAAAGTTTAGAGACTGGAACTAAAACAGGCTAAGAGGACAGCCAATATTTGGGTTCTTGCCCTCCAAAGACAATGACAAACACGAGGGAACCTTGTCCACAAGCTCCTACAATTTTGGTGAAGTCACCAAATCTCCTGAGCAGAGAGATTACTGAACCCCAGAGTACAAGAATCAGCAAGCAGGGATTTAGCTCATCAGCATAAGCGCCTGCCAGGCAAACCCAAGGTCATGAGTTAGATTTCTGGTACCAAAAAAAAAGAATCAACAAGCATACACTGTACCAAAGGAGAATCAGGAAGAGGAAAGTTTCCCATGCTTTCACAGAAAGAAATATGGACTAGCAAGACTATGACCCATTCTCACAGGTAACACTGACAGAGAAACTAAGAGGTTCTATACATAACTCTATAGAAATACCTGAGGATAGGAATTTAGCTCAGCAACACAAGTGCCTACCTAACAAGCATGAGGTGAGTTCGACCCCCAATACCAAAAAAATAAAAAGATAAAAGAAATGCCTGAAGAGACTTAACTGACCTTGAAAAACAGCAAGAGGTTAATTTTAACACAGGTTTCACTTGATCTTAAACAGCCAAAAGAAAAGTATAACCGAAAGATGTGTAAAAGTGATGCCATAGTAAGACTTGATATAGAAAGGGGCTCCAGTTGGATGTGGTGCAGAACCAACCTGTAATCCCAGCACTTGGGAGGCTAAGACAGGAGGATTGCTGTGAGTTCAAGGCCAGCCTGAACTGCATAGCAAAACTCTGTCTCCAAAAGACAAAAAAAGCAGGGGGGTGAGGGTGGAATGGGCTCCAATCGCTGACTTTTTCTGGCAGTTTCCAACTATACCAGTAACTGACTACTGTTATGAGTCATTAAGAAAAAAAACTGCAGTAGAATCTACAAAAGCTTAACAAGAACCTTCAAAATCACAAAACTGGGGCTAGGAATTTAGCTCAGTGGCACAAGCAAGCACCTGCCTGGCAAGCACGAGGTCATGAGTTCAATCCCCAGTACCCCCACACACACACACAAAAAAAAAAAAAAACCACCAAACTCTCCATCTTCTTACATCTAAAACTGGAGAGATTTATGAAAAGATACCAGACTCCATCAGTAGAGGGGCTTAAGAGCCAGTGGGTTACAACTGCTATTCTAGTCCCTTAAGAACAGTTTCTAGCTCTTTCCCAACCTGCCTTTCATCTTCATGCACATGCTTTGATTATACATGCACTAATTTCTCAGAAAATGTGTTCATTCTTGCCTAAAAGCCACCAAACTCCATGTGATCATGCAAATGGAACCAATGACAGATTTGCTAGACTCTTTTTACAAAAATCCACCCGATCAACCTTGTAAAAAAGAGTTCATAACTGCTGAAATACAACATGACTTCTAACTGAAGCCCATTATATTAGCTTTCTGGAGAAAGTCCCAGAACTGCAGTCTCCCCTACTCAGCTCAAAGCAGTTGGATAGAAACTATGCCCCTTTTTTAGGTCCTGACCTACAACCCCAATCTCCTAAATCAGTGTATGGCAAAGGCTTAAATAAATGAGATAAGTGGTATGGTTTTAGGGCTGCAGGAAGATCAAACCCCTTTTGCCAAATCTGAGACTTTGAGGGTTAAGACAAAGACTTCTCTGGACTGCCCAAATTTAATAGATTCAAACAAAGAGTGGGGATATTGAGGAAAGCACAGGATATGAGCAGGACCTTGGAAGTCACTTCAAAGACTTCTCCAAGTAGTAAATTATGCCAAGTAAGAACCGTCTTTATCCCCATGGTGACATTTATGGTAGGAGTAAGGCTGAAGAGTGAGATGCCTGCAGCTTCAGTCTATCTACTTAATTGGTGTTGGAGCCAGGCATCCTAACCTGTGGCCTTATCTTGCCCTCTGAGATACCACTGGCCTCACAGGCCACTACAGGCCTCAGCCAGGGCCTGTTATCCATAGAGGTTCACTTACTATGAATCAGCTTCCTTTACCAGGCAAGGGGCCAAAGACTAGGACAGACTCACAGATAAGCATAGAAAGCCAATTAGTTAATTTTAAATTCTGCTCAGAGCCATTTCATAGTGATCTCCAACACCCCTTCTTCCTTAACCATGGTTAGAGATAGCTCTTCAGAGGGGAGAATATAGACAGTTAAGTTATAAATATTACAGGCAGTTAGACAGGGCTAAAGATATTTTAATACCTAAATATATTTAGTTTCACAAAAATGTCACTGCTATTATTTTCTCATTTTACAAACAGACTATTTGTAACTTTTACACTGACTAGCATAGTTTGAAAGTCACTGCTGTAATTTTTACTTTTGCATTCAGGCCTGTAAATCCAAAGGAGTTATATTTGCCTTTTGGAAATGTCTTTGTATTGAAACATTCCTCTGCTCAAGAACTTTACTAAGTTCTTTTTTTATGCTGGTGTGTGTGTGGACATGCTGTCAAATCCTATGTTAAGGGGCTGGGGATTTAGCTCAGTGGCATAAGCACCTGCCTTGCAAAGTGTACAGTCATGAGTTTGATCCCTGGTACCGATTTAAAAAAAAAGAAAAAAGAAAAAAATTCTTTTAAATCCTATGTTACTTTGCAAGCTACCACAAGGGTGACATTCAGTCATAATACTAGCCCAGTCAGATCAAGGCACATAGAGTGCAGGGCTAATAACGTGGGCTGTGGGTCATTGTGTGTTTGGTCTCACTTTCTACTTTTGACTTCATAGTATGCTGTTTAACTCTCTCTCTGTGTGTGTGTGTGTGTGTGTGTGTGTGTGTGTGTGTGTGTGTGTGTTACCAGGAATCGAGCTCAGAAGCTTGCACTTGCCACGCAGGCATTGCACTACTGAGCCGTATCCCCACTCTGGTTTAACATTGTAGCCTTTCTACAAATATGTATTGACTGATTATGTCAGAAACTGCTTTAGTGGATTAAGAAGATAAACATCTCTGTCCTTTAGGAATTTGGAATATAAATTGGAAAATTTAACACTAAACAGCCTGCTGCGATTGGTATTAAAGTCTTTATAAAGTGTACTGGGGACAAATCTTGGCATCATATAGGAAGCTATCTTATATTATGGAGTCTTTGAAGTTTGGGGTTTTGAGGAATGGTACCAGGAAAGAAAACACTGAAAGCTAAAAAATGACCCCAAGCTAGATGTAGCTTAGTATGTATATGGTTTGGATCACTATAGACTGTTGAGAACAGACCTTTTCTTTTCCTTTGGTGCTGGCTGGATCAAACCCATGGCATCAGTGTCTCAGATAAACAATCTACTGCTGATCTACATGTCCATCTGTGCTGTGGACAGACTTTTAAGAGCATGGGCCGATGAAAGATTAGGTCCTTTAGAACACATTTTTTTTTTTTTTGGTACCAGGAATTGAACTCACAACCTCATACTTGGCTAGGCAGGCCCTTCTGCCACTGAGCTAAATCCCCTGCCCAGAACAAAACATTCTGATTTAAACAATCACTATATGATTGTGTTTGGATATCAGGATTCCTTAGCATATGAAAGAAGTCAGAAAGATGAGAGCTGCAATTTAAGGTATAAAAAGTTTATAACAGGGGCTGGGGGTTTAGCTCAGTGGCATAAGCGCCTGCCTTGAAAGCAGGCAGTCGTGAGTTCAATCCCCGGTACCGATAAAAAGGAAAAAGACAGAAAAAAAAAGTTTATAACAGATATGAAGTAATATAATGTTGAATTCCAGTGTTCTAAACTAGTCAAGATATTCTCTAGTATCCGGAATTCTTTAAATTTATTTAATGTTGATAATTTGAATAAAAATTTACCTAGATCTAATTTCTTCTGATTTCAAGGAGTAATTAGGACAGCTCTCATTACCATATCACCCAAAAAAGTAAAATTCTTTTCTGTTCTTGTCTGCACTCTGAAGAGCTATCTGTATGCTGTTCCAACATATCCTCCATGCAGAAGCCATGATGACCTTTATATACCAAACCCCGTATCATGCTACCCTATATCCTCTCCCCTCTGTTTAGAACCTGGGTTCTAAAACAAAAAAGAGCAATTATGGGGAATCACTGGCCTGACAAGTGATTGAAATGACTCGAAAGGCAAAGGGACCTCTGGAGCAAAAGCACAGGGCTCGTGGAATGCATAGTGAAAGATAAGAGCAGATCTGCAGGGCATCAGCCAAGCAGAGTTAAAAACAAAGGAACTCTGCTCTAGCCACTGTGCTCCTCATGTCCCCAAAAGCTTGTTTAGCAGACCATCCTGTTCTGCACATTCCTTTGACCCAAGCTCCTACACTGCTGTTATTCTGAACATTTGTTCTCACATCTTTGAATTACAAATAAAAGGCCAGGGATTTCTCAGATGTCTAATGTTTTCCTGAGACTTTTCCTAATGATGAGTCTCAGTGAAGCAGTCACTCCAGGCCTCTTGGATATGTTTATCCTCTCTCTCTCTCTCTCTCTCTCTCTCTCTCTCTCTCGCTCTCGCTCTCGCTCTCGCTCTGTGTGTGTGTGTGTGTGTGTGTGTGTGTGTGTGTGTGTGTGTGTGTTGCTGGGGATTAAATCCATGGCCTTCTGCATGTCAGGTAAAAACTTTACCACTGAGTCAGGGTAGCCTTAGGCCAGGGTTTAAACTAAACTATGACTCTAAGGAATTTTTCATCCTTTGCACCACCCAGTCACAGAATATGACATGCTGAAAATAAAAAATACACATTAGTAATTAGTTCCAGCAAAAATAAAGATTTAATTTTTTCTCATCCAAGATCACAGGCATCCCAAAGAGATCCATGAAAGGTTGGTACTCCTGTTCTAGATGATATTTTTAATGCCTTTTCTCTCCCTACAGGAATGATGAGAAGACAGCAGCTGACTACAAGATTTTAGGTATCTCTGTCCTTCACTTGGGGTTGGATCTGAGAAGAGAAGTTGGTCTTAGGCAATGAAGAGTTTTCTCTACACTGTACCTTTTTACCCTGTCACTCATAATAAAGCACATTCTTTCACTGGCTGGGACACCCAAGCCATTGCCCCCTGTTGTGGATGCCCAGTCTTGTGTGTCTACTGGTGAGAGACTGCGAGGATCCCAGGATGCAGTGTTCCTGGCCCAAAAGGCCTTTGCTGGCTATTGGGTTTTAATTTGCAGTCCTGTGTGCTTCCCTGTCTTACGGCTGTGTCCCGGTTGTCAATAAAATATTTCCCAGCCTGCTGGAATCTTCCTTCTGTTGCACAAAAGTAACTGAAAGCAAATTGGGCCCAGTGCTAACCAGTTACACCAGTTGGAAGAAGTAGGCCAGCAGAAGGCCTGGAGCTCAGAGACAGATTAGCTGAGACTCCAAAATGCTGGAGCCACCTCTCCCCAGCTTCCAAGAGCAAATTATTAGCAACTTTTCCTGACTCGATATGATATTAAGTGACTGTTGGTAGCTTGAAATCAGCCATGGTAGGTATCACAGGAAATGAGAAACACTAGGAATCAGACTCCCTCTTTCATCTGGTCATGATGCATCTAGCAACTTCACACTGATGTTAAGGACAAGAGAAACTAGAGATTCTCTTATGTGCCTTTGTTAGACAAGTGCACTCTGTTGAAGAAGGACTGCAAGGGTTTACAGATACTACATTTTGGAGGAAGGGGGTGGATTTTGTTTGTTGTTTGAGATAGAGTCTCTTGCCCAGAATGGTTGCCAATGAACTTCTAGATACAAGTGAATCTTGTATCTAGGGGAGTAGCTCAACCTACAGGCAGGGAATATTGCATGTGGATGCAGACACTACTCTTTAGGGATGGAACATTGCTGACAGCTCTGCATTTTACATTCTCAAGATGCTTACATGGAGAAAACTGGAAATAGTGAGCTAGGAAGGGATCATCTCTTAATTAGCAAGATAAAGTGATACACATATAAGAGGATGGCCTTAAACTGGAAGTGCTAGCCCACATCTGTAATCCCAGCACTACCCAGCTGAGGCAAGAGGATCCCAACTACAAGTTTAGCCTGGGCTGGACAGTTGACCACTTTAGCAAAACGTTCTTTAAAAAAAAAAAAGTATGGCCCTACCTCAGTGCAAGGGCCTAGGGCTCAAACCACAGTACAGGAATAAAAGATGAGGCAAAAGAAAGTGTCCAGTACTTGGCTTCTCTAGCAACACTGAAAGCGAAGTAGGCTAAAGAAGAGAAGACACATGAATCCTCTCCCAGGGAACCCTGGACCCTTAGGAAATCTGGTCCCCTGTGCAGTGGTCTTGGAACCTTCCCGCCCAGCGCCAGGAGGCGCTCTGGCACGGCTGCACAGCAGGCGCCTGAGCCTGGCGTGGCGACGCTCTAGCAGTCGTTACTCAGTGGTCGACCTGCGGGCCCCGCGGCCGGTCTGCAACTGTACTGTGCTTAGGCTAATGGGTGAGCGCCAGCTGGCTCGCGCCCTGGAGGCATGTGATGGCCAAGCTCCCAAAGCTCGCAGTTTTTGATCTGGGTAAGGGACGAGCCAGGGGTCTGATAGGGCGCTTTCCCGAATCTCTCCCCCGCGGCAGCACAGCCCCTGCGCCCCCAAGACCGAACCTTCCCTCCTTCCTCCGCAGATTACACGCTCTGGCCTTTCTGGGTGGACACACACGTAGACCCTCCGTTCCACCGGAGCAGGTGAGGCAGGGATAGGGAGGACCGGGGCCGGGTGGCGCCCGGCCGGCCGGGACTGAGACTTCCCTCGCCCTCTGCAGCGATGGAGCTATACGAGATAGTCGAGGTCAGAGTGTCAGGCTGTACCAGGAGGTGCCTGCTGTTCTGGACCGATTGCAAGGCCTTGGGGTGCCGGTCGCGGCCGCTTCACGGTAAGCAGAGCAGCTATCAACGATTGCTGCTAACACGGAAGATGAATGCACACAGAGACTTCATGTAACACCTGTGTGCAAAAATTTAGGAGATAGGGGCTGGGGATTTAGCTTGGTGGCATGAGCGCCTTCCTTGCAAGTGTGGGGTCGTGAGTTCGATCCCTGGTACCGATAAAAACGAAAAAGGCAAAAAAAAAAAAAAAAAAAAAGATTTGTTCTCTGCATACCAGGAATTGCGACTAAGTACTGAAGTGGGTTCATAAACAATATAGGAATCCAATCAGCCAAACTGATAAATTTGGAATTTTATTAGCTGAGCTCAGCAACTACCAGTGGACCCATTTCAGAGTCAAAACAAGTGGCCCTGAACTGAAGAGTCACAGGCCATTTAAAGTAAGACATCCTGTTGGAAACAGTTTAACCGGAATCTTACATTAATTTTAGTTGACACCTGTATCCTGCTTGTTTGTTGAGCAGATTAATTTTTCTATTGTGGGTGCAGCTCATTCTGCCTTTTTCATGGGACTTGTATCCAGAGTAATTTTTCACTCTTTGGATCAAACACAGGGCACGATTTAAATACAAGGTACAAGATGGGATCAGTTATGCAAACCTACAACATGTAATGATAAAAATTTAAAATGTAAAAGTGCAGGTATGCAAATATTTGTACGTGTGTCCTAATTCTACCATCTCCTGTACCTCTTAGTGTTGTCTTTTGTTTTTCCTTTTTGGTCTTTGAGACATGGTTTTGCTGTGCATTTCAGGCTGGCCTTGGACTCACTTTGTAGCCTAGGTTGGCCTAAAACTCTTAGTGATCCTCCTGGCTCTGCCTCTCAAGTGCTGGGATTACCACACCTGGCACTTTTTACTTGTTAAGCACTGGCTCAACACCCACCTTGGTCTCCCAAAAGACCATGGAGATCAGAAAGGCAATTGGAAATCTCTCCATCCTGGAAAAGGAGCAAACTGGCTTCCCCCTGCTTGTACATAGCTTTTATTGCAGCCTGGCCCTTCCCTCTCCTAAGTCCATCCATTACTCCCTTTTGCAGGACAGGTGAAGTAGAAGGGGCCAACCAGCTACTGGAGCTCTTCGGCCTGGTTAGATACTTTGTTCACCGGGAAATTTATCCAGGAAGCAAGGTTACACATTTCGAGAGGTAGGCAGGGGTCGAGGAGGAGCTGGGTGAGCCCAGACACCAGCTCCCTTATCACTGGCCATCTCACACAGGTTGCATCAGAAGACTGGAGTTCCTTTCTCGCAGATGATCTTCTTTGATGATGAGAAGCGGAATATTGTAGACGTCACCGCACTGGGTACTGGAGAGTGAAGCTAACCACTGGGGGATGAGGAAGGGATTAGTAACTGTCAAGGGAGGGTAATCTGCATGATGGGACACAATGAAAAGTTGAGAGTAATAATAGGAGCCATGACAGCTTGACACACAGATCTTTTCCTTCTAGGTGTTACTTGTGTGCACGTCAAGAATGGAATGAGTCTTCAGACCCTAACTCAAGGGTTAGAGATGTTTGCAAAGGCCCAAGTGAGGCCCTGAAGTCCAGCCCTGTGGATGAGCCTCAGCAGATGCCTAAAACTGAAAGGAAATCAAGAAGGCATTCGTAGGTGCATCTGTACTCTATTAAAGTGTACCAGTGTGTGACAGAAAAGAGCTTATCCACAGTGTGGATTGTTTCTATTGGCTGTTGGGAATAAGGTGGTTATCCTGAGATGCCCCCACCAGGGTGTAAGACTTTTAGAGTAAGAACATTTTATTGAGAGAGATACCTCCTGGGAGACAGGAGGGGTCCTAATCATAGGTCATCACAGAATGTGACATGGTAAGCCAGGTGTGGTGGCTCACACCTGTAATCCCAGCACGAGGGAGGCTGAGGTGGGAGGATCGTTTCCAGTTTGAGACCAGCCTGGCCTACAAAGCAAGCTCAAGGCCAGCCTGAACTGCATAGAGAGACCCCGTCTCAAAAAAAAAAAAAAAAAAATGAATGTGACATGGTAGACTCACAGGTACTACCTTCTACATCTGTGATGCAGGTTGAGATGCAGAGGACATGAAGAACTCTCTCACTACATGGTTAATGGTACATTCCCAAGGCACAATTCTTTTTAGGGAGTCAAGACAGTTTGGCTGTGGGGACAGTCTTTGAACTAGTAGAAATGAAGTGGCCTATTTAAGAGCAGTAGTTCTGGCCCGGCATGGGCTGCGGGCAGTACCAGCAGTAGTTTCTCTGCAGCTGACAATGATATCACCTTAAAAAGTGGCATGCAAAGGAGGGACAGGCCCAGACCCTGAGCTCTGAGAGCCACCTTCCTGGAGCAAGGAGGAGGTCCAGGAGAGCCCAGGTCCAGGTGACCCATGAGTGACTTCAGTCGACTTCAGGAGGGGTGAGCCCAGGTGACCCAGGCTGCCAGGAGGTACTGGCCAAGCAGAGGAGGGGAGACCTATGCAGCGGGAAAAGGAGGAGGTGAGGTTGGCCCTCAGCAGGACTGGGGTTCACTGCTCCTACCAGCATGCCTGATCTTGCTGCCTTGTAGGAGTGCCTTCAATGTGGAGACAAGGAAGAAGAACCCCCTGTCCAATTGCCCAGTGTACCTTCTATTCATCTGTGTGCAGGGCCCAGTACCCAGGGCTATGCATTGTCTTCAGCACTTGTGTGAACCTGAAGAGATTTGGTGTAGAATGATTCTTCATTGCACATTAGAGAAGGTCCCAGCAGAAGGCTACTGCTGTAGTCATGCAGATTGTTGACTGCATACTGGTTTGGACTAAAGGGAGGGTGGCAGAAATCAGACTCCAGCCTGCCCTGCACACAGCAAGCTGCACAGCCTGCTTTAGGGCCCCAGAAGCTATTAACTAGAGGGACCTAATTTGCATAAAGGTGCAGTGGAAATGAACAGCAACCAGCAAGCAGAAGACCACACCTTTAGGTCACTTGCTGGAGAGATAATCCAAGCATCCACCTCTAGGGGTCAGAGCAGGGCATACCTGGAAAGAGCTGAGGCACTAACATGTCTTTGTTCTCTGGCTGTCCTCTCCCCAAAGCTCCCAAAGCAGGTAAAGACCAAGAAGAACTAAAGCAGGTGGCTGAATGGCATCCTCAGGAGTCTGAGCTTCTGTTCCTCAGGCTGCCTGCACTGGTCTCTTTGCCTCCAGTGCTGGTGCTGGGCTACTGAAGCAGAGCTGTTTTGAGTGTTTCCTGAAGTGGTGCCTTGACGCTGTCTGAGCAAAGGGCATCTCACCCTCCTCTATCTGACAAAACTCTGAAGTTAAAGGATCATGCTGTAGAAGGCTCCCCTGAGTGCCTTCTTCCCAGTAAAACTGGGTAGATGCATCCCACATGTCTGTACTGTTTTTTCCACATCTAAGACTTACTTCATTTTTTAGTATTTTCTTCGACCTGTTCTTTGAGCCTTCTTTCAAGCCTTGAATAACAATGAGACTAATGGAATGGGGTTGGAACTTAGCAACAAATAGTTTTTACAGTATTTCAGCCTGCGCACCTTTCACCTTGCCTGTACTAAGCTCGAGGCAACAGCCATCCTTACTTCTCTGTGGAGCCATCTCTGAGTCTTCCTCATGGTGCTCCTTTAGTCCTGCCTCTCAAGACAGCCCTTGAAAAAAAAAAAAAAGGGGGGGGGGCTGGGGATTTAGCTCAACGGCATAAGCGCCTGCCTTGCAAGCAGGCAGTCGTGAGTTCGATCCCTGGTACCGATAAAAAAGAAAAAGACAAAAAAAAAAAAAAAAAAAAAAAGACAGCCCTTGGTTTACTATCTGTTTTCCTTCTTGCAAAACACACTTTCAGGGGTAGGGAGAAAACACTTTCAAGGGCAGGGCAGGTAGCTGGGCTTTATCCAGAAACCATTCTTGATTGCATTTACCACTAGAAGGCTTGGTTAGATCTCTGTCACTTCTGTGTAGGACACTAGTGGTGTAGGACCTGACTCCCACATTATTTCCAAAAAGATTAACTTGACACTAACATGAAGGAGTAAGAAGGAACCAAGGCACTAAATACACCCTGGCAGTCACTGTCAAGACCAGCTGATGCCATCACTTTGGACTCTGGAAAATAGAACCATAGTCAGAATGAAATCACCAGAGTGTCAGCCCACCCACTCACTGCACATTAGAGAACAAAGGCTTTAAAATGAGATTTATGTAAGTAGAGTTTGTAAAATCCAAAACCAGGTGTTGAATGCACTTGAACTACCAACTTGCCTGAACGGATGCCAAGATTACTGGTTTTAAGCTCACAGCAGAAATCCACCAGTGACCCTAGAATTTTCCACTGACTCCCTTTAAGAAACAATATCTTTGAACCTATCTGATAAAAGCATGTGAAAATTGGATTTATTTTGGTTGTCAAAGATTTGTCAGCCCAAACTCTTCTGCTTTGCTCCTCTCAGCCCCTTGCCTCAACCACTTTGCAGCTCATTCCAAGGGTTGTGGAGGATTCATGGTGTTGGGATCCTGTTGTATGGCCTCAAGCAGTTTCATCTCATAGCTGGGTGCCTCGGGCTGAAATTTGAGCACCCAGGGGTCCCTTATGATGTCCAGGATGGTGGCACGCTTGGCAGCTTGGCATAGCATCTGGAGGATCAGGTTCTAGGGCAGAGGAGAAAGAGGTCTTGACTGAGTTTGCCCTTGTTATGTCACACAGACACTGAGCCCTAGGCCTACAAATGAAGCAGGACACCCTCACACCACTCTGCTGAGAGGGAGTATAGGCCTGGTTTTATGCTTGAGGAAGAGCAAGGCATTCCCTGCAAGAGAAGAAGATTGCCCAGGAGGGCAATCCCTTGCATAAACCCCTTCTGGCCTAAAGGGACAGAAGCTGAAACATGTTGATCAATCATATGTAAGGCGTGAAGCCCAGGAATTGGCAGGAAGCCCTCCCCACTCCTGCAGGAAAAGGGCTAGAGTATGAGATGGCTTGGAGGAGCCTTCCCCTGGGGACCAGAAGCCTAGGTAGATCATCCCTAAGATTCTTCCCTCCTCAGAGAGCCAGCACCTTGCACTCTTGGGAGATGACATAGTTAGGCGGGAAAGTGACCTCCTTCTGAGTCCCTCTGAGCAGCTTCTTGAGATTGGTGTCATCAAAGGGCAGATGAGCCACCATTAGAGTGTAGAGGATGACACCCATGCTCCAGGTGTCAGATAGGAAAGGATTGTAGGGCAAGCCTCGTAAGATCTCCGGACAGGAATAAGCAAAGCTTCCACAGTAGGTCTGACTGATTTGGGAAACGATACTCGCTCGGTGGTAAGAGGCACTGCTCTGGCCAGTCTGCGTAGAAGACACCATCTTGGCAAAGCCAAAGTCTGAAATCTTCACATTCTCCTGCTTGTCCAGCAACAGGTTTTCCAACTTCAAGTTCCTACCAGTAGCAAAAATTTTGGTGGTCAGATTGGGAATAAGGTTTACTACACTGGGAGGAGATATGCTAGGATTCAAAGGCTAGATAGAGTTGGATGAAGACATATAAAGTGGGCAGGAAATGCCATCATAAAAGCAAAAGGTAGTGTAGTAGTAGTCGTGGAATTATGAGCAGAATGAAAAGAGAGGAAAATGGATGTTACGTCAAGGAGCATTAGTTGTTCACTGCACTCAGAGTGTATTTACAAGTGTCCTGAATGAGATGGTTTCAACTGGAGTAGATAAATGAGCCTCCATGTGGAACAGGGAAATCAAGAGAAGGAAGACAAGAGGACAGAAATTGCAGTGTGTATAACCCCCCTGTGAGGGCCCCAGGATCCCAGTCTGGGTGGTCACGCCCTCACCGGTGCACGATGCCCTTGCTGTGCAGGTAGGCCATGCCCAGGGTCATCTGGGAGAACCACTTGCCAGCAAGGGGCTCAGAGCAGGCCCCATAGCGCTGGATCCATTCAAGGACGTCACCACCCTGAGCCAGCTCCAAAATGATGTACACTCGAGATGTGGTCTCAATGGCCTGATAGAAGCTGATGACGTACTTGTGCCGCAAGATTTTCATTACCTGACCCCAGAAGAGGCAACCATCAAACCTGGGAAAGGAGAACCCTGGCTGTACTCCTAGCCCTCCAGTGTCCTCCCACTGTTATTTTCTTCAAACTTTGCAACAGAATCGGCCCCTCCTCTTCTAAGTGTGGGGGGCCAGTGGCCAAACCCTATTTATTCTTTTAGGGGGCTGGAGCTGCATGTCTGTGTGAGAAATGGGTTGAAAATATACTAAGGAAATATGTCTGCCTAGAGACATGTTCAGTTCTGGTGTAAGGCTTTTGGCTTCACAGTCCCAGCCATACCGTTCTGAGAATCCTCAAGTGTCCCAGTACTGAACTGCAATTCCCCTCCATCCTCACTACTGACCTGTAACTCTCGGGGCAGGAACTTGTTAAGGTAGTCGTCAGAGGCCTTCTTCTTAGAGATGATCTTGATAGCCACCATGACCTTCTGCTTTGTGTGGTAAGCCTCATAGACGGTCCCATAGGAGCCAGTGCCAATGACCTTGCCCACCTTATAATTGTACTCTTCCAGGACAGAGCGATTTGAGGTGGCATTTGGCACTGCCTCTAGGCTGTCTCCCTTCCCCATAGCGTCAGGCTTGTCAACAGAGGTGTGCTCTGCTGCTTAGGAGCCTGTGTCCTGAGAGGACAATGCCTTGGGCCACAGAAAGCTAGGGTACCACAGTGAAGTTAGTGTCCCGGTGCTTGACTGTACAGTCACACAAGGCTGGATGCTGGGCTGAGCCCCACTAAGAGTTTGAAGGAGCAAATAAGAGAAGCCTTTCTTTCTGTCTCCACTGGCTGTTGTTACTTCTTCCCCTTGGATATGGAACTCCACAAGGTCTCAAATTCCACACACATCACAATCCCCATCTCACCTACAAATCATCACCAAGTGTGAGCATGAAGTGCAGTTTGGAACAATCCTCCTTCCCAGAGAAATGTTCTGCAATGTGGTGAGATGTTACTGTGGATCTTCTCCCTTCATTCTTGTAGACTGAGCACCTTCCATATGCCAAAAATTTGGCTGAAAACTGGAATAAGTTAAACAGGTAAATAAAGACCTATCCTCCTAGATTTTATAACACAGTGTGAGAAACATATGAATTATTACAGAGAATGCAAATTAAATGACATTTCTGTCTTTGATCCCCCCCCCATGGGCTTCACTATGCCCTTTCAGGCTGACTTTGAGCTACTTTGTAGCCCAGTTTTGTCTCAAACTTCCAACAATCCTAACTCAGCCTCCCGAGTACTGGGATTACTGGCATGTGCCACCATACCCAGCTTGGACTTTCTACTTTTCTTTCGAAACATCTGGTTATTCCTCTATATCTTTCCTTTTATCTCCATGTCCTGTTCTAATCGTTGTTCTTTGCTGTTGCTGCTGCTATTTTTAATTGTTCTGGAGACTGAACTAAATCCTTGCATAGGCTCAGCAAGCAAGCTATCCCTAAGCCACATCCCATATCCCTACCTCCTCCATCTATACTTAAATCATATCCCAAAAGTTCTATCACTGGCTTGATTTTCTCAAATTTTGACATCCTTCTTTGACCAGAGCCGCGGGAGACAGGAGGCCAGACTCGAGCAGGATCAGCTCTCAAAGTTTATTGCGTACAGCGAACCGGACCTAACAAGGTCCGCCACCCTCAACGTTGGTTCCTCTTCTGTCCGTTGGGGGCAGGAACAACCTCTTATAAGGGGAAGCAGTATCCAATCACAGAGAAGCGCGTCTAACAAGCTGATAGGCTAGCGTCACGGGTAACTGGGCAGACATGACAATTTGGCGGGCTTGTTCAGGCCGGGAAGAACCCGGAAGCAGGAAATGGGCACCATCATAGGCGGCTTCCCACACTTCTTAAGGATTTCATCCACTCCCAAGGCTTCAGTTGCCACTTTTACGTCAAATGTTCCTAATCTCATCTCTCCCACAGAAATACCTCTGGAATTAACAGTTACAGTGTCCACTTGCTCACCAGACATTACACAGGCCTGTCTTTCCCAGCCAGCTCAAACTCACAAAGTCCAAAATTGAACTTCTTATTTTCACTCTTGGATTTCTTCCTTCTGGAAATTCCATTCTAGTTGTCTTCTTTTAGAAACAAGTACCAAGGGGCTGGGGATTTAGCTCAGCGGCATAAGCGCCTGCCTTGGAAACAGGGAGTCGTGAGTTTGATCCCTGGTACCGATAAAAAGGAAAAAGACAAAAAAAAAAAAAAAAAAAAAAAGATACAAGTACCAAAAAAAAAAAAGAAAGAAAGAAACCCAAGTACCATCCTAGATCAGTGATAGTGAATCTAATGTGTTAGTGTGCTTTTAAGACAAAAATTGTTAATGTAGAGGGTTTTTTTGTAACTAAAATCTCATTATTCAGGTTTAATTGCAGTGCTGGCACATTGCTATAAAGAAGTGGGTTTTAGTTTGGGCACTTGGTCTATGAACTATTTGCCATCACTGTCCTAGACCTGTCTGCATTGGTACCTACATCCAATCCATCACCAAATTCTGCCTTTTTTGCTTTTTAATAATCTCATAATGAGCTGTCCAAACCCACTGCCAATCCTTTAGTGCATCATTTAACTGACCTCCCTAAGAACTGTCTAATCCCATCAGTCTATTTACCCTGAAGCCCAAGCACAAAACTAATTTTGTTCTCACTGAAAACAATTCACTAGGCCCCCGATGTCCTCAAGGACCAAGTCACATTCTTTCACATTTGGCTTTAAGATGACCCTGCCTATCTCTCTACTTTTTTAAGTACACACAATGTTTCATTCAAACAAAACTGCTTTTTCATCTTTGTTCTCCTGGCAAACTACTACTGCTTTTTGAGAAGTTAGCTTTGGAGCTGTTTTAAAGAAGCTTTTATTTCCTGCCCAAGCCCAAGTGAAGTATTTCTCTTTTCTAGGTATTCCACAGCCCTGATGGTGCAGGCAGCTGAGTTAGTTAGAAATATTATAGGCAGTGAGACAGGGCTGGTTCCTCAAAGGAGCCAGTTCATAAGCCCAGATAGCTTGCAACTGTGAGGGAGACAGATATCTCCTGCTGTGGGCCAGGCCTCAAGACAAAAGATCGAACAAATGCATCCATATCCTAAGAACTGATATTCTAAATAGCTTCCTATCACTCTGAGAAAGTCAGGAGTCACCATTCCAACTCCCTAAGGGAAAGAGTCACAGCTGTCTTAAGAATGCCCGCTTTCTATGTGATACACTTCCCCATTTGTCCTCAATTTAATCAATTTTACCTGAACTATTAATCTTATTGGCTAACTATAGTTATGTCCCACCTTATACCCATCTGCCTTGTGAGTTCCCAGTTTTCCCTATCTGAAACCTATCTCACCCCATGAGTTTACTCTATAAAAGTCCCTAGAAAAGACAGAGTCCTTGGTAACCCACTCAGGACCCCTTCTATCTCGCTCTCAAACAGAAGCTTTCTTTCTCTCAGTAAATATATTCTACTCTTAACTTCTGTTGTTCCTAAAATTCATTCTTCAATTTTAGAGAACACAAACTTGTGGACATAGTAGGTTAAGAGTTTCATTCCCCTATATCACTGGTAACTTCTCTGTCATAGCATCTAACATAAGGTTCATTGGTTTTCTTGTTTGCACTCCTACTAGGCCAGGCAGGGAAGTCAATAATGAGAGGAGCCTGTTGAAGTCAGATGTCGATGTCGCTCCCGGCCGGCAGGAAGGACACACGACAAAGTCTGGCAGTGGACAACCTTTTCTTTTATTTTCTCTCCGTACAGCCTGCCCTGGGATCGCTCCCAGCCGAAGCCTCCTCTGGTCCGCTCCCCGCGGCTCCTTCCGTGCTTCGCTCCGAAGCCTCTACCGGTCCGCTCTCCGCGGCTCCTTCCGGGCTTCGCTCCGAAGCCTCTACCGGTCCGCTCTCCGCGGCTCCTTCCGGGCTTCGCTCCGAAGCCTCTACCGGTCCGCTCTCCGCGGCTCCTTCCGGGCTTCTACTTCCCCCCAGGGGTGGCACCAGTATATATACGGATACAGTGTCCAATCATATTAAAGTAAGCAAGGCAAGCTGATTGGCTTAACATATTATTGAGCGGGTTATTTACGCGGTAAGCAGGAAACTAACGTGCTCGATGGGAGGGGTAATCTAACTCAGGCTTTACTCTTTACCACAGGCCGCATGATCGCTATATGCGGCGGCTCGGCAATGTGGTGGCTCCCAACATCTCCCCCTTTTTTATTTTAAATAAGTCTACGCATCGCAGCCGGTCCTGAATTGAGTGTAGAGGCCTATGCCCTGATAGGAGGCCCACCAAGGGCTCTCGGCGTCGGTCCGGGTCGGCCGTCCCCGAGTCTGCCGAGGCCCCGAGGCCCTCGTCCTTTTTCCAGGGCCAGGAAGGAACCAGACGGAACCTGGATGCACACAGGCATACACTCATGTCGCTCCGCATGATCCCCCCGGGGCGACATTTGGTTTGGGCGGAACCTAGTAATTCAGCGGCTTTCGTGCGGTATGGGGTAGGGCCTGTCTTAGGTTGAGTCATGCTGGGGAGGCATGCTCTTACCCGTCATTGACTCATCTACCCTGCTATATCATAATTTTTTAGAGGAGGAGTGTGGGAAGCTCACCGTCCCTAGACTCGGTCGTAGGCTAGGCGAGCGAGCCATGCATATGCCTGAGGATCTTCTTGTCCATTTCGGGCTACCGCTATTTCTATTCATCTTGTTGGTTGGTCTGTGATGGATCTCCGGTAGGGCAGGTCTGATCTTCAGTCGAGGGCTTTGTCGCCCGTGTCAGTCTCTCCGGTACCCACAGTGGTTCTCGTCCCGATTCCTGCAGAAAAACACAAACCGCGCCTCGGTTCCAGCTGATTACCGGATCCGGGCCCATCCATTGTCATGCCATAGATAACCGCGCCTTTGGAGGCAGGCCTTGGCTTACTCCCCCTTTTTGTTTTTTATTTTTTATTTTTTATTTTTATCTTTTTTTTTTTTTTTTTTTTTTGGTACCAGGGATCGAACTGGCGATTGCCTGCTTACAAGGCAGGCGCTTATGCCGCTAAGCTAAATCCCCAGCTCCCATTTCCTCGACCGGCGTTTTTCTCAGCCTGCTCGGCAGAGAACTCTGTGTACCAGGCTCGCCAATCCAGGTAACTACCCGAGGGCAGACACGCCTTTGCCAGCTGAATCCAGTCCGCGGGGGTGAGGGGCCCAGAAGACAGGTTTTTCAGCATGGCAATGGTGTAAGGCGCAGTCGGCCCAAAGGTTGTAACTGCATTTTTAAGTTCTCTAATCTGCTTTATCTCAAAAGGCTCCCATGCATTACGTCCCTGGCCCATAGCTACTTATACAGGAAATATCCCGTAGGGGCCATTATCTATCCCAGGTGGTGGATGTACCTCATGAGACAAACGTCCCCCCTGCCAAAGCCGCCTGTAAAAATACCGACCCGCCGGCGGCGGAGCATAAGACGGCGGCCGTGATTGGGCGGAAAATGGGGGCCCGTGCATCACTTCCTGTTCTGGCGAAAGGGGAGGGAGCTCCCACGCGGCCGCCTCGTGGCGAGGGATCGCTTCCGGGAACAGCCCCCAAGGTGGGGCGGAAGGCTTCGCCTCCCTCTCGCGCCAGGGGGCGCTCAGGAGCTCTCTACTCCTCCGCAGACCAAGTTGAGCGGAGCGCAATTCGCAGCGCAACGCTGGGAAAGAACCCTGCGACTCCTTATCGAGCGGCCTATCCTCTTGGCATCTAGGCTCCTTGGTCTCATCGTTGTCTAAGCCTTCCTCGTTCTCGGAGTCAGACGACTCCGAGGCCTGAGCCCCGTCTTCCTCCTTTATATCTTTGTCTCCTTTGACGGACCCCTCCCGGGAGCTCCCTGACTGGGCCTGTTCGAATGCCCTACGCACTTTAATGAGCTCTTGAGAACCTTCCCTGCAACCACCCTCGCTCTTCAAGCATGCATATATCATTTC